AATATCGTACTCAGGCAGATAACTACGGCTACTATTGTTCAGAGAGCTCTGAGTGACATTTTGATCTGGAAAACAATAAATTAGTACAGTAAACTTGACAATATAGATTACGCATACATAACACATTAGTTCTCGATGTTTCTACTCTAGTGGCATCGACGCTACACGCACTACGTTCCAAATGTGATGCTAATTGTGGACAGAGAGTCCCTGTTATTTAGATTAAAAAATTATTGATGTCTAAAGTGGAAGTCAACCATATTTTATAAAGGAGGCCATCTTACTTACTATTCCAATCGTATACAAAACAGAATAGCTAGCTGGTGCTATTGGATGGTAAAATGAAGCTTTAACTTTCCACGAAACAGTTAAAGGTATTAATTATAATAACAAGATAAGGCCCGTACAATTACAATTACGGAAAATCTTTTAAAGCGCAATACATGATACACTACAAATGAAGTGGCTCCTACGTAGAACAATTACATAATATACTAATTATTTCGATAATTGGCAGAAAGTTTCGACTAGTGAAGTGAAAATGCTACCATCCAACTCATCAATGAGAATTCAATGAGAACTAGCTTGATAATCCTTTCATGAGCACAATTTATATTAAAGACTATAGGCTATCATTTGAAAAAAAATCTCGATTACTTCCTTCTGAGTATTATATATTAATCTACTATGATAAGTCAGTAGTTGTTACATATCGTATACTTATAGGTATACTAGATACTATTACTACTAGACACCAAGGCTGAATAAATGCTATAGTTATCAGTCCTTGCATTACACACTCTTCACACAACGCAACGTGACTAGTTCTCAATCAACCACAAGAACGAGTATGTGAGTTTTATATTAGCATATGCATAAGATATTGCATCGGTTACAAAATAAGATAACAAGTGAAATATTCGACGACAGTGCTTCTCTTATTTCAAAACACAATATAATTTCTGAAAGACCTCTAATTCTGGAAGGGTGTGAAAAATGGTTGAAATTCGACAAAAATTTGTTTTTCTTTCTTCAAAACTTAAAAAAATTCGGAATGTCACATTTAAATTATCTTGTTGGATAGTTTACACTTTTATTGACTGTAAGATTGGAAAATATGTGACGTCAAAAATTTTTAAATTCGTGTATCATAATTTATAGATAGGTACCCCCCTTATAAATTTTGATTTTGACATTGCATTTGCAATAAAGTCTGCTAATTAAGAGTTCAGAACAGAAGACATTTCTTTTTTGTATTTACTTCTGGTTCTATGGAAACCATTCAGTTGTAATTTTCATCCACACACTCGGCACGCTCTGTTCAACCTGTTCAGACCAGTGGATGGTAAACCAGCAAGAAATGTGGGATGGTTTTGTGTACACCGATGTCTCGGCGCGTGGTAATTGCCATTCAATTAGAAGCAATCAAGGTTAAGTGGCAGTGGGTTGGTGACGTCTATAGTACATATCAAACGACTTATGGCAGTTAAAGAAATTGGACAATTGCATGATGTATCAAATATTAAAGTGCAGATTGATAAATAATCATAAGCTGATTTGTATTGTTGCTGAATTTGTTTTTCTACTACTGTACGCATAAGTATATTATAATTATAATGAATATACTAAAAGCTTTATTCCATGAACGTCTGGTAAATTCAATAAACATATTTCATGTCCCGTCTGTTATGAGTACAACGTTAATGAAGTTTCGTAGCTCACGAAAATATAAACTGTTAATTAATACATACTATTGTATATTATTCTTTTCTAAGTCCATCTTATTTTAATGTTTAAATTCGATAAATGGATTCACTAAGATTAAAAAGAATACGCGGTTATTTGCTAACGACATGCGACCGTAAGTTAAATGAAACAACTGCGTAGTTGCCAACGCATAGACATGCAGTTATATCCTAAGGGGATAACCAAAGGGGGAACAACAGCTAAATTTAAATGTACAGTATTGTTGGACAAATTAAAGTAAAAAATAATAATGATAATGTAAAACTAAAAATGTAATAATAATCTACATATCTTTTCAATGTGTGTTTGTAAATTTAAGAATACCAAGAAATCATTTATTAACCAATGTTCGTATCAAATACACGTTTCTTTCCTCAATTCACACTATGAGTTCATAGAACAGTCAGGACGTGTCCTTTTAAATATACTTAGAAATAATAAATATGTATTAAAAAAATTAAGGATAATACTCTTTTACATCATCTATACATATAAAATTGGAGTGTCTGTCTGTAATATTGAAATAACCATTTTTTACTACATGCATATAAATATAAATACGGTAGATGCAGCTACAAAAACATTTTTTTTTATTTTTGTCTATCTGTTTATTCCGGCAAATCCCTGAAATGGCTGGACCTATTTTGACGGGACTTTTTTTTGGCAGGTAGCAGATGTAATAAGGAGTAACTTAGGATACTTTTATTTTAGAAAAATTCCATTATTTTAGAAAAATAAAGTTTAAATCCACGCGGACGAAATCGCGTGTACAGCTAGTAACATATAAATAAGTAAAAAGCGCTAAATATTATTTTTATTTCTTTCACATCGTATGAATCGTTCAATATCATATCAAATTTGAAGTTACAACTTGATATTTCGCCATATATAAAATCGTTCCAGTTGAAATCATGTGACATGTAATGCTGGTATTGGACTGGGTAGCTATATTAAGGCTGACTGTGATTTAGGTGCGATTATCCAGTTGAGCTGAATGAATCATTGGTGTGCTTAAAAGAAGTACAAGGTGACAACGTACTGAACTGTGAGGACAGTGATAAAAAATATTGTTCTGTATTAGTAACAAAAATGTCGTATATGAATATAGAGCTCTTTACAATTTGCCGAAAAAGTAAGATCCTAAAATGAAATGGAATAAGCGTTAGTAAAGAAAAACATATTACTTGGATCTTGCAAACATTTTAATGTAAGATTCGAGATAATCCAGACGATAAAAAAAGATAGGAAAACGTTCTAGATTAATCAATAGCTATATTGACAATAGGGGGAATAGGGGGATTTTTTCGATTACAATAGAAATCACCATATTGTGTGTCTGTTTTTAGTACAGTTGTTTCTGGGACAACTATAATTTTTTAATCTTTCACAATAACTCAATTACTTTTAACGTCATTATTAAAAAATTGGAAACACAACGAGAAAATTCTAAACACTTCAAGTAACAGACTTAAAACCTTAATATTTACTTCAGAATTACATAACGAATCGATTTTCCGTCAGGAATTATGGTTTACACTTGGCCCGCAGCCAACTTACAATATTCAAAGGTTACGCAGTCGATTGTTGCCTGAAATTGGCATCGTCTCAAATAACACGAACTATCATTCATATTTTAAAGTATAAATTGTATTTTCTCTTTAGTTTATGATACTGGAATGAGCGACAATGGAAAATAATATATTTCGTATAAGACGTGGTCCATATTATTCGAATTTTGATATGGCTTTTATATTATCCTGTCAAACTTTTCTAGCGTCTTTTACCTTGCTCTATTTATTATATATATAGGTCTCCAAATTTTTAGGCACAAAATTATGATAAGCTGTCATATACATTATGATGCACACACAATTATATAAGATGTTCCATATACGATCAAAATAGGAAAGGAGATGCATTTGTATGATAACGACTTGAATTTTCCGTCGACAATAAACATGGTAAAAGCCGAGGGCGTCAAATGTGTGTGTACATTCGGTACACGTTTTTATAAATCATACACAGTAATTATAAATTAAAAAATCCTTTTTTGGGACATCCAAAGATCCATTATAATCAAGAGATAAAAATAATTTTTTTAAATAACATTTTGCTTAGAAAAGTTTCCACTGTTTACCCACGAGTATTCTGACGACGGTCCACGTCGTCGATAGAAATTAGCATGATAAATGTGGGGAGACTGATGTCGTATGTCATATAGACGCGTCGTATAACACTGCAGTGCGTACATACTCGTACAGTACGTATGTGATATTTTTTTTCTTAACTGTTTATCGCACCGAAGACTAGTAAACAATTTACTAATATTTTTATAGTAAGGATATAAAAGGCGATCTTATTACACAAGAAATCTCTTCTAGAGAACCTTCGGGTAGAGAAGTGAAGACATGATGCGCCATATAGTGAAATGTCCGAATAATATAAAACTTCAGTATCAGTAGTATTCATCAGTATTCTTGAATAAGTAACACAAAACGTAACTAATTCTAATTATCTCATGGTCCAACCGGGCTACCATTGAACACGCATTTTTAAATATTCCGTGTTTCTGCCAAAACTTATCTGGAAGATACAAGAAACAACGAAAACACGGGGCAACAACCGACATTCAGATTCGGGGTAATAAAATAAACATGTATCGCCCCACTTTTAGTGTAAGTACGTGGGCAATATAATTAAATACATAAATTCTAGCTATCGAAAATATAGTCAGCAGTTATCAAAGCTTTTAATTATAATACTATTAATAGAAGTAATAAAATAAAATTGGAATGTATTAGGAAGATGACCGGCTCGACCTATTTGGCAACAAGACAATGTATGATAATTATTATGCTTGTGTCCCATTTTTTACAAACATTTCCGAAACTAGACAAATATTTACACACTGTCATGCGGGTCTGGCTTGGAAAATTGATCGAACAAGTTATTTTTGGGTTTAAATATTTTAACAAGGTAGTGCAAGACTTCACTCTTTCACAATAGATTATGAAATTGTGCTTTAAAAATAATTATCATGTTAATACGCTTTTCCATAATAATTTTATACAAATATTGTTGTCACCTAGTCGCCGTCGCAGCACAAAAATGCTCCGGTTTTAAAGGTTTCGAAATTTTCCAAAATATGATTATGGTGTGTTCAAAGTTAGGAACACGAGAGCGATTCTTCTAGTAACCTGCTTTAGCCGCTTATGATAAGGCAGGTCGGGTGCTTGAAAAATATGATAACATACCTGAGCTGAGCGCAGTAGAACTGGTGCGGGATGGCGGTCAGCACGCCAGCACCGTCTCCAGTGTCATTGTCGCATGCGCACGCTCCACGATGTTCCATACGTGTAGCGAGCACTTCTGCATCGCGAACGATCTAAACGCGAACATTACTAATGTAAAGTTGGATAAAGCATTTTCATAGCGCACGGGAGCACCATGGCATTATGATCCAGAAAATAGCAACTCTATATGCTGGCAGAGCAATAGCGGAGGATAATAGGATGAACATAAAATCAGTTAAGCGCCCATCATAGCGACTTCACCAGGAAGAGATAGAGGATTGTCCTACCTCTTCTTTCATAAATAGAATAGGCAGAATCTAAACTGACATCGTGGTCCAGTAATATTATACACCTACTTAGACCAGGCAGTATGTGAGTTTGAATCAAGTATACCTAATCTCATAACTACGCAGCTTCCTTTGCGAGTTGTGTTCGGGTTTGAACATCAGGTTTTAAATCGTATTAGTTTTTTAGTACCCACTTAATCAGTTCAACCAGATTGTGATCGGTTTTCTCTTGACTAGTGTTCAAAAGAACGACGGTATCAAACTGCATGCATGCATGCAACTTTGAGATTCATTAGACTTGAAGGTGCCTCAACTTGTTTACTATGTATAAAAGAAGTATATGATTGACAGAATGTGACAATTACTAAGCATACTTACTTTATGACTACGTTTACCGTCGATAGCAACTACAAAACCAACACCGCAGGCTTCGTGCTCGTTCTGAGGGTCGTACAAGCCTTGCTTGCTCGGCCCTTCCCACTCCATACCTGCAAAAACAGAAGAAGAAGTGCAGAAGTTCTTGTATACGACACAGACATTGATTTTTTTGGGCTATTATGACAAACCAGATCTGTACTTTTATGAGTGAATATAGAATGGTGCGTATACTAAAGGCAATCACCTTAAGTTATTATCAAAAAGCGTATAGAAACATTATAGAAGTAAATTCTACAACTTCTTCCAGAATGAAGATATATCGTAACGTACACACAAAGAAACGAGTTGTATTGATGCATTTTCTTCAGAAACAGTTCAAATATTGAGTGATCAAACTTCATCAGATTCAAACAAATTTAAAACTAGACTAGTTTTTGATTATTAATAATTGTAATGATAATAAATTTCTACAAAACTATGACTATGGAAATGAACATCCGAAGACATCTATACAAATTCACCTTGTCCCATAAATAGCATTACGAACAGAATGTTATCACAGAGTTCACGGTCATAAGCCATTGGACTGAGTCTATTGCGCAAAAGCCGGCAAATATGTACCAAATGAATAAATAAAACACCTAATATCTATGAATAAATCATAAAGCACGATTTTGCTTAAAATATTCAAAATATGCAGTACCCGTACTGATATAATTTTATTACGTTGCTACTGAAATGGTCAACAATTGACACCTAAATATTTAGAACAGCACCACGGACATCGCATCGTCATGTGATGCCCCTGTTACTCCTTATGCGTTGCTGTTCTGGAAGCCCTTAGTCGTCGAGAATTGCAACGCATGACACCGCAGTGTCATTGCACCGTACCATGTAATTTCACTACCATATCAATCAAGCTGAAGCCGAAGCTTGCCGGTAGGAGAAACATAAGTAGGAGAAAAAGAGTAAGAGAGTCACTTTCGATTGAAGAATTTGAAGATCCACGATCATCAAATGTAAATGCAGTATTTAATTGTGAATATATACATATAGTAGTTGAATGTGAGGTAGTGTATTTAATTGACACACCATCAAGGTCTACAACCAAAATTCTCTACATAGGTACCAATATATCGAAAGACGTATATACGACGACAAATGACGCAGTTATTTCGTATAACCAATCATTATTGTACCCAAGCCAGAGCAAAATCTGATCAAACATTTCCTTTCAGGCGAAGACTGCTAAAATTAAAAAAATAGTTGCATTTTGAACTCTAGTGAAATTAGCACTTGAGGAGAAATTGATCATCAGAATCTGTGCCTGACACTAAGGGCCATTACCAACACAGATTCACATTATTATTTCTAATTTGTATCTTTGTAGTAGAGTGGAATTTGTACAGATTAGGTTGCATAGGTATTTTCAACTGATCTTTTATGATACTACGCAATATGCTATAGAAGTTGTGGACCAGTTTAATAGGCATGACAGTGGAGTAACAGGATAAAGAGTTATAACAGGTGACCTACCTAGGACTAGCAAGATATAAGGCCACGCCATTAGTGGAGTTCATATTTATTTTCATCAAGGGAGTATAAGTCTTTATGCTATCAGCATTTCATACCTATGAAAAAAACTATTGTCACCAAATTATACAGCTTGCTTTACACCTCTTATATTCCATCATATTATGCACTATAAATACTGCGTTTTAAGAGTAAATAGCATTTGCATTGTTTTATTTAGGATTTTAGCTAGTCATATTGCAATTAGTAAACCAAGTGTTTACAAATTTTTATGCATCAAAAAAGAACATCAAATATAATTACAATTGTTCACTATCAGTTTTCTAATACCCAAAACACAAGCTCTGCTTAGCCTGGGACTAGATTGTGCTGTTAGAATTGTTCAGGTTGGGGGGAGAGGATTGTTACTTATGTAGACTACTTAATAACCCTAGTGCTAGCAATATATGGTATATACCTGTCCTCCACACTTCCCCCTGGAAAAATTTGCATGGCAAATTCATGGAATTCATCACATTGGGTTAAATGACTTGACTTCATCATCCTCTATTGCTGCCCCACCAGCATGCACTATTAGGCTAGGCGGGTGCACCATTTCATTATCATCATTTTAAAAAAATTGTTCAGGTTTATTACTTACCAATTCTTTATTATCTATACATATAAATAAAATTGGAGTGTTTGTTTGTAATATTGAAATGACCGTTTTTAACCACATGCATATGAATATATATGCGGGGCATATACTAAAATAACATTTTTTATTATTTTTGTCTGTCTGTCTGTGTTTGTTCCAACTAATCTCTAAAATGGCTGGACCGAGTTTAATGGGACTTTTTGGGCAGGTAGCTAATGTAATAAGGAGTAATTTAGGCTACTTTCATTTTAGAAAAATAAATTTAAATTTCATGTGGATGAAGTCGTGGAAACAGCTAGTAATAGATAAGAAGAATGCACTAGTAAGAGTACTCTCACTAAAATATTAGTGGCAATATTATTAAATAAACTGCACATCTGACTGGGTGTCTACTATATATATCAAACCTAACAAGATATAGAAATATGTTTCTATCTCTTGCTAATAGTAGCTGCAATGAATTGGTAACCTTTTAATCTCAACTAGGCAGCAACTTTTGTACTGTCTACCATCTTACAGAATAGTTTTATATAGACTGTATTTTATTTTTCATAATATATTGAAACAAGTGGCAATGACAAAGGGCAAGTAATCTTTTGATGGTTATAATAAGACAATGGTGCTGATTACAAGTTGGAAGTGATATAAATATAATTTATATCAGTGCATGAAAACATGCACTAGAATTAAATATTAATATAACTTCAGGCTTATTTGAAGGGTATGATGGAACTGACATACCAAAAATGGACAATGTCCCTAAATTAATAAAATTGAAAGAAAAAAGGATTATTCAACATTAAACTTAACTATTTTTCTTTATAAAAAGTAAGTTATGCAGATTATATCATTTCTGTATAATTATTTCAATTGAACTGGTATAAACATATACAGTATGCTTTAGAATTGACTAATAATAATACAATTATCAACAGTTTAATAAAATGCAATTAATATTCATAATTGTTAATAACACACTTGCTATAGAAAATTGCCATGGTTTTAACCATAAGAGGTTCTATTCTCACAATAACATTATAGTTTTAAAACATTGATGAAAATGTAATTTACTGTTATTTTTTTCAACAATAATAACATGTTTTCTTTACATTTTACATAATAAATGAAGAATCTATCAATACATATACATATGCTTACGTTTTTATATAAAAATAAAATCTGCACAATTATTTTAAATTTTATATTTATTTATTTATTTAAAATTATACATAACAATTATATAGAAAAGAGATATAGATGTACAAATAGCTGTCTTATTGCAGGCAAGCGATCACTTCCAGACAACCTTTAGATAGAAAAAAACAAAAGTTGTAGGTGGTGCATAAATAGCATAGAAGAATATATATATAAAGGTAATAATAGAAATAGAATAATAATACACATAAATATTATAATGTTCTTTCAAAATATGTACAGGACAATACAATATCTGAAACTGGTTTATTCCAGTATTGTAGTTTTCTGATTAAGGGTAGCACATCAGTGTTTTTGTTGATATACCCCTTTAATTTAATATAAATAAGGAATTAATTATACCTTCTTAATATGCATGATGTGGAAATTTAGTATTTCCAATAAGTGTATTTGGTGATTTTATGTATACTTAAGCATTATCAAATGTTATGTCTTTAATTGTGTAAAATTACAACTCAATTTCCCAATGCAAAGCTAATTGCATTCCGATAATGATTCATTGTTAACATGAATATAAAAAATAAATTTTAGTGATGTTGTTCTGAAATTATATGCAACCTGCCAGGTTAATATTTAACCTGAATAGATATAGATATATAATAAATATAGAGACCTTTTAATTCCTATTTATTTTTTTCAATGGGTGGCCAGTGTTGGATACATTTTGAATAATATTAATCAAAGTGGTCTCCAGAAAATAAATTTAAAATCTGAGTAACATGAGTATACTAATGGAAAATAACCCACGCATTATTAAGCGGTTACTGGGTAATAATTAAAAAGCCGGCAGAATTACAAGTAAAGTTGTTTACAAAGATTTAAGTTTTATTGATATTATTTATAGATTTGTCAAAATGCGTCTTAATTATGAATACAGGTTAGCTCACCACGTTTGCAGACTGAAATACTTAGCAAATTCTGTACGTGGACATAAAAATAAACCAACAAGTAGAAGAAAATCTCACCTTAAAAATAACTTATAAAAATTCACTAAACTATGCTCGGTTACAACACTGCGCAATGTTCGCACTATCACTGAATTATTATAATAATACAATATCTGTACAACAATATTCAATCTGAAACACTGAAAATAGCCGCACGACGTAGTGACCACTCTAAAGACGACTACGACTAACGACAACGATCCTCGATCAATTGACTGAAAAAAATATTTTAGTTACAAAATAATAATTCGAAACGACATCGATATGACAAGTTGTCAACTATGACGTCTGTTTGACAATACACAAAGTTGTCAAACGAAATGTCAACGTCAACTTCTAAGTGGTGTTGCCAGTAAGTAATAAAATCAAAATTTAATCTATTTTTGTTTTATTTGTTCGTATCACCCTTATCAATGGCATATTTTATTTTAATTATGAAACCACAAAAAACACAAAAACTAAGTTTGAGATAATCACACAAATTACAAAACATCAACAGAAGTAAAGTCTAACCTATAAAATAAGTGTCTCGAATCTGTCATAACGGTATTAAATATTGTCTTTTGTTACTCGAACAGCATTGTAATAAGAAAAAAACATAATTTAAATCAATTTTCAAAAATAATAAAACACCTTTATCTATCATAAATATTACAATTTAATTAAGATTTTTATAAGATTGAATCTCTTTAAGATTAGAATTAAACTAGAAACTTTTAACAAAGCCCAATACATTAGATTAAGATGGTCACACTGTTTGTCAATCTGTCAATTTCGACTGCGTTCTGCCTGTCAATTATGTTGTGGCGTAATGTATTCTGTGGTTTTGTTTAGTTTGCCGCGATACCGCGAAAGTACAAGTTGCTGTTATTATATTCTAATAAAGTATTTGAAATTGAAATTACGAAACAAAATTTTACGCAACTTATTTTTTGTTGTTTATAAAGATTAAAATTAGAAGAAATAAATCTGTGATAAAATTGTGTGTTTACATTACACTGTAGTTATTTGGGTATTGTTATGATATTGAGTTTTCCGAGTACCTGAATATATTAGTTTACTTTCGAGCTTTCGACACTTGAATTGCACATTCGTAGAGTATTAAATTCTAAAAAATGAGTTTAAGTAGTTTGAGATGTTTATCAAAGTGCAATTTGGTGAAAGTCCCTGCATCAAGTGCATTAGTTTCGAAAGTTTCGGAACCTTGTAATAGAGAAGTCAGCACAAGTAGTTCGCATCGAGCCAGTATTGCAACACATACTCCGAAGCCAGATTGGAACAGAGCCGTGAGTGAGGCCGAGAAAATTGTTGGGTACCCGACGTCGTTTCTGAGTTTACGATGGATTCTCAGTGACGAGATTGCAAACGTCGCTCTTCATTTGAGAAAACTCGTTGGGAGCAATCATCCTTTGCTGAAAACGGCTAAGTTAGTTGATTATAATTATATCAGTATTAACTTTGTAGCTCAAGCATACATAAACGGGCAGTAATGTTCGGAATTTTAATGCAATTGCATCACGCAATAGTTACCTATATAATTGGTAATTTCGTAATTGATGTGTGCGATAAGTACCTAATTGCGTAGATACGTAAGTAGAAATGACTAAGAATCAAATTTGTTGCTTCTATTTATTACGTTAATGTATGTATTATTTTATTTAAGTTGGCACATAGATTAATTAATATTTGTCTACTATAAGGTATGTTATTAGGTAGGTATCCATATCTCAATCATTCTGATATTTATTGTGTAACTAACTCGTCCCGGCTTCGGGCGGATTCGTTACAAATCTTTAAATTTCTCGGCGCGTTCTATATTATAAGTCGGATGTATTATACATATAAACCTTCCTTTTAAATTGCTCTTTCTATTACTGAACCCTGCATTAAAATCCGTTACGCAATTTAAAAGATATAAGCGAATAGAGCGGCTGAGACATTGTTTTATACTATGTAAAGAAGAAAAACGAGCAAATAACTATCGTGTTACTCTTTTAAATAAGGGTGCTGAGGTATCTGTACTAATGTTATAAAAATATAGATTATGAGTTTGGATGTTCATTGTAATCTTTTAGTAAAGGGTAGACATTTATTGAGAAAGACTGCATCACGGGTCCAATAGGAGCGGAACTGCAATAGATATTGCAAAAATGCTGGAGATGTAACGCAGAAGTTGCGTGTGACTGTTAATTTGTTAATATTGCAATTAATAGATGAAATACAGATACCTTATAAATTTGATATATCAGACAGGCCAAACGTCATATCGTCTTACGATATTATAAATCTTAGGCACGACAGTCTTGTTATGCGCTAATTGATAATTAGCGTACATTGCGCTATCAATTGTTAATTATCAAAAATATAATTTAGTACCTAATTAGTGTAAATATAGATAATGTTCAGTTATAAGAAGGCGTTTGTATTCGTAACTAGCTGTTCCTGCGACTTCGTCCGCGTGGAATTTAACTTTTCTCTAAAATAAACGATTTTTTTATAGCCTAAGTTACTCCTTATTACATCAGCTACCTGCCAAAAAAAGTCCCGTCAAAATCGGTCCGGCCTTTTTAGAGATAGGCCGGAACAAACAGACAGACAAGAATAATAAAAAATGTTATTTTGGTATATGTACCGTATTTATATTCATATGCATATGAATATAAATACATATATTTACTGTAGTAAAAAACGGTTATTTCAATATTACAAACAGACAATCCAATTTTATTTATATATACAGACTAGTACTACGAGTAAAATGGAGATAGCCAATATTATGCAATATTCGACTATCACTACTGATCGCCAGATATGTAATCGGAATAGTAGGCTACTGTTGTTGTTGCTTTAATAGGGATGTCAAAAAAATATTCCGGAAAACTTTTTTTTATTATTTTTTACTATGATAATGGTGCACCCGCCCGTGCTAACGGTTTACGCTGGCAGGGCACCAGTGGAGGATGATAAGACGGGCATGAGGTTAAGTCAGTTGGCCCATCGTGACAAATTCACAAAAAAATGATAACGATGGTATCCAGGGGGAATCGCGTGGAGGTCTGCTTGCCTTGCTGGCAATAGAATAGTTCACATTGTTAACAATTCCTTTCCCCCGAACTTAATTACTAATATATTAATAACTAGCTGTCCCGGCAAACGTTGTTTTGCCATATAAATTAATAACGCTATGTAAAAATAGGGGTTGATGATAGAAGGGTGAAAATTTAGGATTGTATGTATTTTTGTTGTTGTATCATAAAAAATTAGAAACTAAAATTTTTTAGACAAAATCTAAAAAATAAAAAAAAATTGTGGTGGACTACCCTTAACATTTAGGGGTTGAAAAACAGATGTTGGCCGATTCTCAGACCTACTCAATACGCTCACAAAATTTCATGAGAATCGGTCAAGCCGTTTCGGAGGAGTATGGGAACGAAAACTGTGACACGAGAATTTTATATATAAGATATATCGTTTATTAGTCGATTTTAATATTGCAATAAATTACAACAATCGATTTTTTTCAATAGACGAAGTGGCTTTTAATCACACTCACAGAAGAGGCCATGTATTGGTTTAATGAATTAAAATTATTATTAATGATTAATTAAACGGTTTTGTATGGATAATGTCACATCACTATACTCCAATATCGAACGATATGTTGATTTGTTCACTGTGCTGTCGACAAACCGCGCCTCTATTGATTATATCTTATCAAATTTCGTGGGTTTGTTGAATGTGTGACACAGTTTTCTTATTCGAATACTATTGTTATTTGCAGCGATTATACGCGAACTGAACTAAACGATTGAAAATTACAAATACAAATGGAGTTGTATGAATCAAAACTGCAACTGTCAAATAGTTTATATAAGTACATATGGTTCAACTTAATTTAAATCTTTTCAATATTGGAAACGATTCCAACAACGTCATATACGCAAACCCCCTTATTTACATGTGTTTTCGTTAACAGTGTCCACCGACGTAACCCAACAAACTATAAAAGCGCATGATGCTAGGTGGTAACCGGTGCTTAAGGGGGGAAGGAACTGTTAGTAATGGGGAACAGTAGCCCCAATGCCAAATGTATCATGTTACGTTGACCTCCACGCGGTTCCCCCTAGAAACCATGGTGATAAATCCCTGGTGAATTTGTCACGATGCGCTAACTGACCTGACCTCATGCTCATTTTATCATCCACTACTGGTGCTCTCCCAGCGTAAACCGTTAACACGGGCGGGTGCACCATTCCATTATCATACTTAAAAATAATATGGTGCCTGACTACATGGATAAAATGGAATTATTTATATATTTCCCAAAACATAAAAGAAGATAAAATATAAAGATAAAACAAATATTTATTAAAATAATGTGTACAAGCTGTCTACTAAAAAAAACATCTTGTTATCAGATCTCGAACGGAACTATAAATATTCATATTGCAATATTTAGTTCAATAATATACTTGCATACCTTCGTATATCACGCAATAACTATTTATTTTTAGAATAATTATATAATAATATTTCTTTAGGTCTAATAGGTAGACTATTAATCTTATCTTATTCTTATTAATATTATAAAAAGGAAAAGTTTGTGAGTATATATGGATAGAAGGGTGGATGTTTATTACTCTTTAACGCTAAAACTATGGAACAGATTTTGTAATATAGCTTACACATCAGAATAACATATAGGCTATAAATATCATACGAGTGAAACTTTCTATTTTCGGGATTTTCCTACTACCGGGCTTAAGTTAGATTTGGTTACTTAATGTTAAGTAACCAAGTCTAATCTTTGCATGAATGTAACAGTCTACCACCGGCCCAGCGACCTCTGCTTTACCATTACCAGTAATTTAATTTAATTCGAAAGAAACTGACAATATTTATTATGTTCTTGTGCAGAAACTTGATCTACAATGGGAAGAACAACATGCAGGCGTGGGGACTCATCGTGTTGTTGGTGTCGAAGGCCGCCGGCCACAGTCCTGAGATACCGGACATGGAACAAGACAAGGCCGCGGGGGTGTTGCATAGGTAAGTTATTAATATCTATAATATTATGAATGTGAAAGTGTGTATCTGTTTGGTTGACTTGAAATGCAAAGACTATTGATATAAAAATATATATGTACGCCCTTAAGATGGTTATCTTACCTGAAAACAGGAGAAGTCCCGTGTTAGTCGTAGTTAATAGTTGGTATAGTAATAAACAACTAACAATCTCTAGTCCCATATTATTAGATAGCAGCAGTAGTTTATTCATATTAACATCATGCTAATTTTAATTTGATTGAAGAATGGATGATGTTTTTATGTAACAGTTGAATTCGATATAAAGCGTGTTTTATCGGATTTAATATAGAATCCAAAGTTCTACAAGGTACAATCTAATTATTTAAAATTTATCAACAGTTTAATAGTGAAAATGTTACGAAAATCATACTCAAATTTTAGTTACTTTTTTTATTATATACTAATACGCAATATTACAAATTTGAAAAATATGTACGTATTCACTAGTTCTCTAAACAATCTTCCACTGAGCTTACGGTCTTTTTGTATTGCTTCTGATCCCTCATGTTTCTTAATTTTATGTCGAATGTACTGTTCATGTCTATAAAAGTATAATTATGCGTGATTGGTAATTATCAAATCAACGATCTATTATCTATATTCTATGTAGTCTTAAGCATAAAATTCTGAATGTACATACGTAATGTACAAAACATAGTCCTCATTTTCCTTATGCGAACATAATTTGCAGTCTCAGCTACCTGCAACTACTTACATAGAATACCAAGTGGTATCTGGGACTTTACATCTTCAACCATTTACAATATTGGTACTTGGTAATGACGTCATTCTACCATCACTGAATAAGGCCCTAAAGGCGCCGAGCAAATAATGTGTCGCATCGAATTAACTACCTAGGTTGTTCCAGGGTTGCCATCCCTAAATAATAATTAAAAAATTACATATCTATACTAATATCTGTTATATTAGTTGTTTGGAATATAAATACCTTTATGGTTGGAACTGTATTTATAGATATTTCACCAGGAATTACTGACACTGAAATTTTATTGAAAAATTATTTTAATGCTGGATAGCCAATTTGTTGAAGAATGCTTTAGATCACAGTACGTTATGACAAAAAAAAAAGAAGAGTTTCAATAAAAAATGTGCAAAAACCGAAAACAGACAATTTTGCGCGGGTGGGATAGTTAATCGTTCAAGTTGGCTCTCCAACTTTATTGTTTCTTTTGCCCGGTGATGTAGCAGTTTAGCCCACCGCTTTATTTCCGATGCTCGCGGATTCGATTTCTCGCACGTTGGAAAACATTTGTATTCATGTTTATGATTGTTTGTATCGGGTACTTTCTATGTATATTATGTATGTATTTACCAAAACAACTAACTAAGTATTTATGTCAGTTGTCTGGTACCCATAACACAAGTTCTGCATACCGTGGGACTAAATGGCGCTGTGTTAATTGTTCAGGATTATTTATTTAGTGGTTATGTATTTCTTAGTTTCAAAACAAAACTTGATTTAATTTATTGGACAGTAGTCAAATATGTACTTCTTTATTATGGTGGTTATCTCGAAGATATGATATCCAGTCAGGTGCCAACCCTGATATACATGGAACTATACATATTCATAAGTCATCAACATGAAGTGACGTCGGCGGGGTACATTTACTTTGTGGACAGGATGGCGGGAAAACATTCTTGCAATTGTAATTAAGTAATTATGTACAAGCAGGAATGTATATGAATAACGTCGAGGATAATCAAATTGTTATTTATTTTAAGGAAATTTGTATATGTATTGTCGAATATAATAATTTTAATAAGTTTGTACTATTATTAATTTCCGCAAATAATACATATGTACATATGTTATATAACATATTACCTTTGTGTGCATGTACTGACATGATTATGATTTTTAATGGGTTATGATGAAGTGGTAGTTTGTGGTAACGGTATGCACTGATGTGGCACTAATAGGAATAATAAAGGCAGTTAACCCATAATGACCAATTCAATAGGAATTGACCATGATGGTTTACAGGGAGGAAGGTCGTGAGTGACAGTGAAGTGTAAGTGATGAGATGAGATGGGGTGGGAAAAGTGAAAGAGTAGTCGACCTGATCGTTTTATTAATAATCCCCGTAGGGTGGGAAGAAAAATGTTTAGTAATGTGGACAAATAATTCCATTCTCCATTCCATAGAAATAATCGTGGTCAATTTCAGGTAAATTTACAACGATGGGCGAACTGAACTGACCTTATTTTCATCTTATCGTCCTCCACTGTTGCCTCGCCAGCATATACCGTTAGCACAGGCTGGTGCATGACATTATTATGGAAAAAATCCCCGAAGCTCTCTTAGAGCTCTTCCCAATAATTTATCGACAATTTCATACACAAATATCCGTGTCTCGTCACCAAATAGCAAGAACGAGACGCCATAACTTATAAAAATACAATCATTACCACACAAGTTTTCTTACAATCGAAAAGGAAATGACAGTAAGACAACAATTGAATAATTGTTGTCTACAACTTTATAACTATACAAATTTATCAATAATATCTGCAACACACAATATATTTTGCAATTTTAATGAACCATTCAATACTTCCGACGTCATGAAATTATGTGTAAATTAAGTTAATTGTTTACAATAATTTGATAATTTAAAAACAATGTATAGTAAGTAATTATTTTCATGTAACCGACTATAAATTATCTCTTCGTATAGAACTATAAATATAAAATGTTAGTACATAGTATATTCGAGTGTCTAAAAGATACTCCAGATCTCTTAATCGCCTTATCCTAATAGCTAGTCATGACCAAAGGTCTTGTACAGAGGGCGCCTGAGAGTGTATCTCAGTGTCATCTATTTTACCCCCCAAGTAGCGTGCGTAAGCAGTGAAATTACAGAATAAAAGACATAATATATATATAAGTATAGGCGACTGTTATCGTTTACCATCAGATGGGCCGTCAGCTTTTTCCATTCCAATTACAGAAAAAAAGTACTAGTATTAATTTAATGATGAGGCACGATTAATATGGTCATGTGGGTAGTAGGATCACTTATCATTATTAAATATTTCCTTAACGAGACAGTTCATGTTAAAGTTACCCATTTCTTCATGCGCATTCTTCGTATACAGCCTTCAGTAAACGATTTCCTTGTTTGCAGTCAGCGGGCGTTGGCCGAGGTCACGGAGATGATCCGCACCTCGCACCTGGTGCACAAAGGGCTTGTGAACATGAACGTTGCCCGGCAATTTGCCCGCGACCCGGACGACATGATGTTCGGCAACAAGATCGCTCTTCTCGGCGGCGACTATTTGCTCGCGAACTGTTGCTCTGAGCTCGCTAACTTGAGGTAAGATTACTTACTTATATCGCACTTATACACACCTAGTATACAAAGAGCTCCTGAACATGAACGTTGCCCGACTAGTAGTACACATATTTTCCAAAGGAGATATTTCGTGAGAGAGTGCTCTATCTTGAGATAAAAATCTATGAATATCCTTGAATTGTTGTCCACGACGGGCCTAGGCAGCAAACTAAAAACAGGGCGAGCACAATAGAATTATGCATGTCGCAGTGCTACAGTAAGCACAGAGTAATAGAATAGCTAACCAAAAATAAAGAAAATGTGACAAAAGAACGTCTTGTCAAAAATATGAAATTAAAAATGTTTTATTGAGCGAGGTAATTCAACGGCCTCGGTGGTCTAACGATTTAGAACGTCACCTTATTTCGCGGGTTTGATACCTCGTACGGTACAAGTATTTGTATTCATGAGTACTAGTTATGCCACGCTGTGTTAGGTTGACTGGTAGAGATCTCTTTCAGAGATAAGTCCACCTTTGCTCATTTTGTCTACATACATGTAAATTTACTATTGTATTTCAATGTGCAATAAATAACATGTATATTTTTGGTATCGGTCTGGGTGTTTTCTATGTATATTATGTATGTATTTACAAAAATAATATATCTACGTATTTATATAAGTTGTCTAATATCTATAACACAAGCTCTACTTAGCTTCGTACTTGTTGGCGCTGTGTGAATTGTTCTTACATATTATAATTATATTATTATAAATATTGTGAATAGCTGGTGAAGCCCGAAGTGCATAACACAATACATCATTGACATCGACCACTTGTTAACTCGCTGCCTTTGATGTTATGCAAGTAAATTAACACCATTAGGTCGGTCCATATCCATCGTCATACTGATTTCACCACTCGCGCTCGTTGTAGTTAAGTAATACGTGACTATATAGTTTTGTCAATAACTGAATTATGTGAAAGTAGTGTCTCATACCAGATAGGTTTAACAAACGAAACCGTATCTCACTAAAATTTAATTCCGGTTTCTGTTATTTTAGACAGAAACTGAAGCATTATATGAAACAAATTGTCAAAAAAGAATATTTACGGGGTTGGTATAAGGGTGACCATTGAGGGAGGAGGAACTTGATAACAAACAAAATAACATGAGAGTTTTATATATTAGATTTCTGATTACTTGATATTAAGTAATATCACAGATAGTAATATTTTTAGTAAACTTTGATTAACGATTAATACATTTAAAAATAATTATGTTTATCACACATTGTATACATAGGCATACTGTTTGTTAATTGTATTAAAAGAAAAAAAAGTTAAAAGTCCAAAAACATAATTTGATTTTTTTTCGATGCTTCGTAATATCATCCAATTTTTTTTATGAACATGAAAATGATAAAAATAACGCAATATGTATGATATCTTTTCAATAATGTTTATATTTTTGTTAACACTTGAAGATATCACATGTTTAATAATATACTGTATTAACTCCACAATTGCATGTTTTAGAGAATGGATTTTAGAGTTTTTACTTTAAAGTCTATATTTCAAGGTTTGTGGTTTTGGGTTTATGCACGTTACTATTAGATGTGCAATATGTGGCGGGGAGAAGTCGCAGGCACGTATCGTATGTGTTGAGTAATAATATATTACATCTGTCGGAAACCATGTTTACCGAGATTAAGAGTCGTTGCGGAATTTATTATGTTATTCTAAAATGTGTTAGATGTCGTAAAAAGTTAAAGATCAAATTAGAATGATATTTGCCGTCGTGGTACGGTGCAGTTATTAGTGGCGACCTTCGCGTGTTGCATGCATCGGTTTTGCTTGCTTTCTAGGTTTATTATTATTATTTAAATATATTCAATGTCTTCAATTCTTTTCTATTTTTAATATAAGTGTCACAGTAATATATTCAAATAGATCGTTTATTACGTAGACATAGATTGTGTAAAAATATCTCGAAATTATTATCCGCGGTATTTGTGTATAATTTGTCATTTTTATTTGAATATAAAAAGAGACAAGATGAGAAAATACAAATTTTCAGTCTCCAGTCGCATCCCATCTTGTTGAGCTCTTTCTTCATTAATTGGAATGAATTTAGGCCTAAATACAAATAAAGGACGGGGTGCCTGAAACTCAGAGATAAAAAAACACCTTACCTATGTTTTGATACGTGTATATGTTTCTCGCCTAAATGGCATGTGATTAAAGTATTTACACCGTAACGAACCGCTCATGAAGTTTAGGTCCTCTAGGCACGAATTTTAAAATAGATGAATAGATTAACTGAACTTAATGTTAGGGATATTACAATATTTACAGCTATACCCAACTTAAAAACTAGTAAGGGAATTTTATTAATATTCTACAAATACACTATTAGAAATATATAATGTACTATACATTTCTCTCTAGTTTGTTTGTTTCCCTCTGTTATAAGTTATTACGGTATTAGTATTTCGTTATATATGTATAATAACGAAATACAACAATAAAAATATATGTATTTTCAATATGTCCATACATACTTTCACTATTAATTTAATCATTCTTTCAAGAGTTGTCTTTGACAGTGATCTTAATAAACTCTTTTAAAATCATTTCAATTATGTCACAGCAATTTCGGTTCTACACCTAGCAAAATGTATAGGTTTAATTCTATAGGTACCTGAAGAAAGGAAAGTCCGTGCCGGCGCAACACTTTCGCTCATATATGCGTGTATACAATATATACATACAGTTCATTTGTAAATACAGGAAGTGCAGAAAGTTAGTCTTTACTATCAACTACACTGTGGTATGTTTGTTAACTGTGATATGTTATATATAGGTACTTTGTCAAGTTCAGATATTACTGTAATACTAGTAATAATAGCCTTAGACAATTCACGCGGCATCATCCAGTCTTAAGCTAAGCAGAGCTATGGAAACCAAACAACTGATAGATATACTTAGATACATGTTTTTGTAAATACATACAGTATCATATGATCCAAGTTGCCTATAAGAGATTGCTTTGAGCGATAAGGCCGCCTTTTGTTAACATATTTTTATATTAAGATTTTTTTTGTAAATATTTTTTATGCACAATAAAAAGTTTATTATTATTATTATATATGGTACATAGAAAACATCCAGACTGATACAAAGAATCTCATGAATACAATTGTTTGTACAGTGCGAGGAAACGAACCCGGGACCATTGGAAGTAATGAGCTGTGTTAGACCACCGATGCCATCATTTGGTATCGAGGGGTCTCCATGCAAAGTATTACCTATATGTTACATATTTTTATCTCGATTAACCAAATTCGTTTCAATGGGGAATGACATTTTTAGTATGTGGGCTAATAACCCAATTGGTAGCAATGTACTTTGTTAGGTTGACCTCCACGTGGTTATCGTGGAAAACATCGTGATATATGGTGATTTTACCACGATGGGCTAACTGACCTGACCTCATGTTCATCTTATCAGCGGGGCACCAGTGGAGGACTGGTGCCCCGCCAGCGAAATCCAGTAGCGCAGGCCGGTGCAGTATTCCATTAACATCCATAAGAAAAGAAAACTTTTTCTTTAATTTTATAATAAATATTTCATAATAAGTTCACTATGTATTATTAGGAATCAAGAGCTGGTGGAGCTCATGTCTTCAGCAGTCAGAGATTTAGCCGAGGCCGAGTTTTTGGGAGATCGGGATGAACAGAACAACCCTCTCCCATCACGTCCCCTATCGGAGGAGCAGAGTGATGCAGTTACAGGTTCGTGTAATTTTCATAGTATCTTATTAATCAATTGTAATATAAATGAGAATGTGTGTATATCTGTTGGATACCGTTTCATGACTAAACGACTAAATTAATAGAAGATTTGAATTGATTTTACGTGAAGATAAATTATATTTCGAGGACAGACATAGGCTATTCTTTTATATAAAACTAGCCGTCCCGGCAAATGTTGTTTTGCCATGTAAGTTAATATCCCTATTAAAAAATAGGGGTTAGTGGTAGAAGGGTGAAAATTTAGGAGTGTATGTATTTTTAATGCCACATGCAATAAAGAAATAAAATTTTCTGTCCAAAAAATTGTAATTTTTTTTTTTTGATTTGTTTTACTTTCTTTTTTGTATTTGGGGTATAAAAAATCTGTGTATATAAATTTTAGCATTATAGTTTTCGGTAAATGTAATAAAAATAACTTCTAGAAATTTTTTTCACTTTACGATTATTTAGTTTTCTTCCTTTTTAAAGGTTTTAAGTGCATACACACACAACATATAATATTCTGTCAATCTTTCATTTTACATTTATTAAAATTTCCTTCTAAATGTATTAAGTAGGTACTTCTAATTTTAATAGTCCAAGTCATAGTCCACAGTTCCGTTTCATTTTCGTATTTACCTAACAGCCAGTATGCGATGTACACACATCCGTCATTTGTCAAGTAAATATGCTTGTCCTCAACTCTACTCTACTCTACGCAAATAATATGACGGTATTAATCCGTATTAATATACATGATAAAGAGATAAAGTTTGTCAGTTCGGATTTTTAGGCTAATTTCCGGTACTACTGAACCGATTTTGAAAATTATTTAAGTAATATAATATATATTGTATTACTTAAATAATTATTTTATCGAACCATTTATCGAGAAATGCTATTGCTACGCCCGAGATTGTCATTATTGGGCATAATGACAATCTCGGTAGACACAACACGCCCGAGATTGTCATTATTGGGCATAATGACAATCTCGGTTAACACACTGCCCCATTTTCCGGTGGGTTCGATTAAATTATACGTATATGAATATGATATAATATGTATATGATTGATCGTTTTTCACACATAGATATTGTGCATCATATATTAAATTATTATATATTTCCTATTTTTAACGTTGAAAGTTTGGAATTTATACTTAAATATTATGTAGAGAAGACAGCGAGAACATGAAGCATGACAGGCGCAAGTGTTGTCATCTCAGCGGCATTGTATGATAATGATTATGTAATGACTGTGCCGACATCATGTCTCAACAATGAAACCTGTCACAGAACTATTGCTTGACTTAATTCGTATCGTCCTGCAGTAGCTTATGGAAAACGTGGTTATAATATTAATAATAATAACATCTGAGGACTATTCACACAGCGGCATCTAGTCCCAAGCAAAGTAGAGCTTGTGTTACGGGTACTAGATAACTATAGGTAATTGTTTTTATAAATACATACATAATATTTAGAAAGAGAAGAAAGGGTATTGTTAGTAGAAAGGGTTTGTAGACTGATGACCTCATTGCCAGCAATATATAATACCAAGTCCGGTTGATCTCTACGCGGTTCCCCCTGGAAACCATCGTGATAAAGCCTGGTGAATTTGTCATGATGGGCTCACTGAACTGAGCTCATAGTCATTTTATCGTTCTCCATTGGTGCCCCGCCAGCGTAAACAGTTAGCGCAGGCGGATGGACACACTACCTTGTATTCGACACACACATACTATTTTTGTTTATTGTTAAAGTCTTTGGTCAAATTGAGAATAGATTAATATTGTCTATCTTTAATATTATCTTAGTCTTTGACAGTAGAAGGTTATATTAAGGTTTCTTAGGGGATGGTAACGCGCACGTGACACCCCTGGTGTTTCAGATGTCCATACGGTAACCATTTACCATCAGATGGGCCGTATGCTTGTTTGCCACTACAGTAGTATTAAAAAATAGAACTTTAATAATATTCTGACTCGCAAATTAAATTAATTATGGTCTAATTTCGATCACTGAGTCTCCTGTAATACCACCTATATATAAATATTAACACGCAAATTTGTTCTTATATAAGTATGCGAAATTATATATCTTGGAATACAGACAACCAACTCATTCCATTCAAATGTAAAGATGCCAATAGTTGTACTCTACTGACACAGTAATGTATTAAGGTTGCTATTAAAATTCACCACTGTACAACAACGAGGAATCGAACGCGCGCTGAATGCAAGTGAATTCTATCGTGAGCCGAATTGTTAATATGTAAAAAGCTATGATAATCTGTCTGTCCTTCCTAAAAACTAGGAAGTCACGTCTAGATGACTTGTACTCGCTAGGAACAAATATGTGTTTTATAGAAAAAAATACTATAGTAACAGCAACTTGATCTACTTTTTTGTAGATAAAAGGTACCCAAAAAAGTAGTCCCTTCCTTTTTAAGACTTCGACAAACATACATTTTTGCATTCATTATAATACACGGATACGGACGTTTTTCTGTTTTAACTATGAATATTGACTCAGCGCATTGTACATAGAACGACTCTATTAAATTTTCTAATGTTCTGCGTAATTTTTTAAATTTTTCTTTCATCACAATAAATAATGAAAAACACAATAAAACAGAATAAGCGACGTAGTTCCAGTCGTTCATGATGTCGTGACCAATGGAAATGGAATTGATTGCGGAGAAGTTAATAACCCCATTAATAGCGATATACCAGGTCGAGTTGACCACGCGGTTTCCCTGGAAACTTGGTTAATTGAATTAGTTATTTTGCTACTATGGGCTAACTAACCTGACCTCATACTCATCTTATCATCCTCCACTTGTGCCCCGCCAGCGTACCGTTATCGCAGGCTAGTGCACCATTCCATTATAATCCCTTAAAAAAATAGCAACTTTTTCTTTTATATAACTTACAAAGCAAGCTGCGTCGTAACTGAAATAGGTAAAACTGAGGTATCATAGACGATTTTGTACAAAGCCTACTTCGGTAAAGTAATTAATAATTTATTTGCTCTCCAATTATAATGAATAATTTATTTCTCATACTTCTGAGAATTAAAAGCAGGCCACCGACCAACTTTATAGAATTGGTATATACCTCCATACAATACATAAACAATGAACCATGGACATTATAGAATGTCTTTGAATACATTCCTTATACAGGTCACTTAGTATACAAAGCCAATCAAAATGTATACCTAAGTTCGGACTGCATTCATCATAGGGATGGTCCATAAACCTGTTTAGTCGTACAATATCGATGCTTTTAGATCGACTGTAACTTTTCAATAACATCGAAACGAAAGATCGATGTTTATATCGACACCGACATCGATAGTTGTTTATGTCACCGATTATATCGACAAAAAAGATTATTCGAAGTAGCAACCGATACCTAAAACAAAACAAAAAGAGTTTATTCGAAATTTACTGCTAGTTATTTTTTAAAATGATTAACCCCAAAATGTTTAAAGCTAATTACATAATTGCTGTGTTTACTGCTTCTCATACTAGAGCTCCCCTTGCCGAGCCACAGGGGTCTCTGGTTTAAGATGCCGTTGAAAACCGAAAGCAGGGAGGGTATTTTATCAGGGATTCCATCGGTACGAGGATCCTCGTATAAATTCGTGATATTTTGCTTTCAGTCAAAATTTATTTTCATCCTCGTACACATAGGTATGCGTTTTAAGGTTAGTTAGTTTGTTACTTAGGTTGCTACTTCACTGACAATATCTGTTAAAAAAATATAAAAGTGATGCAAAAAGCTAGCAAGTCAGTGCATTGTTCTGCTCTGGGTGACAAACCACCGGCTTTCGGGGGGTAGGGGGTTGTTAGTAATGTGGATTGAGTCCATTATTAGCAATGTATGTTACATTCATTACTAATAATGACCTGAATTTGACGGTTGAACTCCACGCAGTTTCCACTGTAAACCATTATGGCGAATTTGGCACGATGGGCTGTCTGTCCTGATCTCATGTTCATCTTATTCTACTCTGGTGCCCGCCAGCGTAAACCGTTAGCGCAGGCAGGTGCACCGTTCCATTATCCTCCATTAAACACTGCTTTTCTAATCTGGCTGACATTTAATTATTATTGCAGAATGGGATTGCATCGTAGAGCCGCTGCCGATGACTGGAGTGTTGGGTAGTTTACCGCGCGAGTGGGCGGCGCGACACGTGCTTGCGGCCGGCTCTTTGCTGGGCAAAAGCTGCTCGGCGACTCTGAAGCTGGCAGGACACGGACCAGACTTACAAACACAGGTCAGGTCTAAAAACGTCATTGGGCTGCTGCCCAACATCAAAATGTATTTATTTATTGAGTGGAGCGCGAAGTGTGGAACGATCATTTGGACTCTTTGTAACGATACTTCTCCGAAACGGCTTGATCGATCGAGACAAAAATTTCATCAAAGGATTGTTAGAAAAATTCCGACGGTCAAGGTCGAGTTTTTAAGAATAAATGTGACCTGGTGTAAACAAAACACTGGTAACAAACCTAGTTAGCACACAAAACACTAATAATCCAACACAATGTTATCCTAAAACCTAAATTATATGGATGCATGCAATATACGCTTGATAAGACTAGATAATAAAAAGTACACTAAATAGAAAGTGATAAGAAATAAAATTAGGTCTAAAATGTTTGAAGAACTTTCACACATTTGATTCATGTTTGCAAACATTGTAGTCATCCTAAACTGGACCTTACAACATGCTACTCATAAATTTGCATTCATAACACTTTGATATGTGTTGACATGTGCTTAAATATGCTAGCTATGGGGTCATTAGTCCACATTACTAACTTCCCTTTACCCAACGTGTGTGCAGGGCTACCTGTTCGGGTGCCACCTGGCGCTGGCGTGGCAGGCGTTCCTGGACCTGGAGTCGTTCACAGGTCCCGAGCCGCGCTCGTTCTCTCTGGTGGGCGCGCCGCTCGCCTTCACGCTGCAGGCGCGTCCCGAACTCTACGCGCACATCGAGGCCGGGCGCAGGAGCGTCCACGACATCGATTACCACGCTGTAAGTTTCATTTCAGATCGTCTTGTCCTTTTTTTTAAATTGAGGAGAATTTTCAAGTTGACTACTACTATACTATTCTTTAGTACCGGATTCGTACTCGTTTGGAGAGCAGATAAAAATTGGTCTTTGAAGGTCAACTTACATTTGACTTGTTTGAACCTACCGAAGTAAATAAAATATGTATTTGTACAAAAAATCTTCGACAGATTGCAGACATATGGTCGTCCGTACCCTTCTAGTAGGGTGCAGGTTGGAGCCTCAGAGCCTCTCGAACTCTTTTGCCCTGGCATTATCCCCGGGGGTATTATAATACACATGTACACAAATGTTTTTATCGTGCGAAGAATCGAACTCACGACCATTGGATGTAAAGGCTTTATAACCAATGGTCGTGGGTTCGATTCTTAAACTAAACTGCTATACCACCGAAGCCGAAATAAATAAATCATTTTAGAACTTCATTTAGCTGACTCATTGCTGCATCTACTACTTATCTATTATAATTCTACTTTGTTTGCATGACTTTTGCAAACTGTATGGCCGGGATTAAAAGTAGTCTGTGTCTTTCTCTGTCCCAAATACTATATACCTGTATACCTAATTTCTTGATATTTTTTCTAAACCGTTAAGGCGTTAAGAGATAACAAATAAATAAACTCACTTCAATGTTTACAATATTACTAAACATAATATTAGTATAGATTTTAGTCAAATAGAAAAGAATGTTCTCATTTCTTTTTGAGGTTGATCATACAAGATGTTTGTTATATATATTGTATATATGTATATGCCCCGGCTACGCACGTGTATTACAAATAACAAATTCTACACTTAAACCTTCTTCTGAATGTATAAATACAAAAAGAACAGCTCATGGGATTTCAAAGTATTGATTATTTATTTGTATGCATTGTAGACCGAAACTACTGGACCGATATGACAAATTGTTTTACCATTGGAATCCTACTTATCCCTGATGAACATAGACGATAGTACAATATTTTAAAAAACGTTAGGGATACTTATGTAAACTTCGTTTAACCCAAAGTGTGAAAGAAATACCAAATAAAAGTCCTTACATCGCGTACGGTGAGGAAATTATTTAATAAAGTAAAGTAATAATATAGTAAAGTAATATAATGCATATGATAGAAGACATCTATATCGAATCTTGTGTGTGTGTGTGTGTGTGTTAAAGTTTATTTTTTTGTTGTGTAATGTATCGAATACTCTTTTAAAACATAGATTGACATTGAATAAGGCAATGGGGCTAATTTAGGACTTAAAATGTTCAGTATTTATTAAACTAAGTACTTACTTTAATACAGCCGTTTAGATGTGTATAATAATAACTATAGCTTTTATTTTAAACAAGATAAGCTTTGACGGTAGTCCTTTTTATTATTCATTGATATATTCCTAATGAATTTGCCATGATGGACTAACTGACTTGACATGTGCATCTTATCTCCACTGGTAACCCGCCAGCGTAAACCGTTAGCGCACTGTGCACCATTCTATTATGATCCATTAAAAAGAATCAACATTACTAACAATCCTATTTCTCTTTCATCATGAATTAAACTGTCTGTATTGATATCAGCTGTACGAAGCAGTGATGGCAGGAGATGGAATCGCGAAGACTGTGGAACTGCAGCGCGGACAAGCTCGACGGGCGCGCGCCGCGCTCGGGAACTTCCAACTCGGAGACGCGCGCTCCGCACTCGCCAACATACTCTCCGCGCTGCATCACGCCGTCGACTAAGTATATACCATTACCAATCTAACTATAAACTTAATGGATACTTCATATAGCTCTTCAATTTATACTACCAACTATGACACTACACCTTTTGATATATCGGAACTTGGGAAAAGAAGAATCTAGGCGCTGTAGCCAGTATCATTTGGTTAATAGTACCTACAGCTGACCTCGTCTCATATGCCATCTCCAATCTAGCTGTACCAACTCACTGGATACCTCATCTTTCTCTTCGTTTCATACCACCAACTATTCAACATACCTCCACCCTGGCTATATGCAGTGCAATCTCAATATAATTCGTTGAACTGAAGTTTATTATATCGAGGTTACGTTGGTCTAAAATTTGTTATAAAGATTTTAAAACGTTTCTGAGCCATTTCAACTTGAATCTTTAACAATAGTGACGAGAACTGTTTACATTCCTTTCCATCAAACAACAATGATTGTTTTACGAACAAAAGCGCGTCGAAATTTGTCGCGACATGAATAACATAATATGAGATTAAGAGTCATACGTTAGAGGTATTTATACTTTTCTTGATAGTTAAAAATTCGTTATAAAAAGGTTGTTCGCAATGTAAAGGTATATTTTCCATTGACTCTCATGGACGACTCAAGGGGTTTACGAAGAATTTGTTAAATCGCGGAAGTCGTTATATTGAAGTACGTTATATGAAGGTTGCACTGTATTATCAGTTTTTTTTACGTTTAGACAGTTTCACAAGATTTATTCCTAAAGCGAAAATGAAGCTTTTCATTCATTTTATACTTAGACTATGTCTAGATCAAATTTTATGATAATTGCCTAGGCCGATGAGGAGACACGGTTTCACATTTTGTATTTTTAAGATTGTTCTAATCCTGTGATAATGCATGGACCTTATATTGTATTTAATATTTATCAACGGCTAAATATAGAATATACATTTTAAAACTATACTCAACTTTCTAGCTTTAATTAAGTATAATAATTATAAGAGTATTCATAAAAATACCTATAATACCAATTTACTATGACAATGTTTTGTCTCAGTCTATCAAATAACAAAACTGGCTTGTGAGAAAGACACAAAATAGTTGCAATAATAATAACCCTGGACAATTCACACAGCGCCATCTAGTCCCATTTTAAGCAGAGCTTGTGTTACGGAAATAGATGGTATACTTGAATACGTTTTTGTAGGTTGACTTTCACGCGGTTCCCTCTGGTAACCATCGTGATAAATTCCTGGTGAAATTGTCACAATGGGCTAACTGACCTGACCTCATGTTCATCTTATCATCCTCCACTGGTGCCTCGCAAGCGTAAACCGTTAGCGCAGGCGGGTGCACCATTCCGTTACCATCCATAAAAAATACGTTTTTGTTTGTGAATACAATATATACACAGAAAACACCCAGACCGATACAATTTACAATTATATTAATGAATACGAATTTTTGCACTCAAACCCGCGACTATCGAAAGCGGTGGTGTGCTAAAACGCTAAACCACCGAGACCGTCCAAGTTAAAATTGGTATTTTTATGAATATTGCTGTAAGTTTGCAGATGAGTGTTAATTTGTTTAAGTACAACGTAACATTATTATGCCACAGGAAAGATAGTTAATTGATGTAATGTTTATATAAATTTAGATTAAAATTTGTATATTTTTTATATAAATATATATTTCAATTCAAGAGGCTTAAAAGTAAATATGAATTGTAGTTCAATATATTTTTATTCAAACTTGTTAATGTTAAAAATGATAGTGAACTATTAAATGGTGCAGGTACTTTTGTAATTGTATGTTATGAATATAATCTTGTACTATTTTTTTATTAAATACACTGTTTTGTGTACAAATGTTTTATTTTATTTTATCACTTCCACTATACAAGTACTGACTATTTCGACAACACATTGGTCGAGATACTTCCATTATATCAAGCGTGTTTTAAAAGATATTTGACAATGATAATTATAGATTTTAAAAGAATAATACCTTAATCCTCATGAATGGCAGAGTCCATAGTGCTGGTCTATAGCGATGAATTGAACCTCTCGGTTATATTTATACAGATCTATATCCCTTCCCCAAAGAAGGGAATCATTAGTAATGTGGACTGATGTCAGTTTTGACCTCCATGGTTCCCTCTGGAAAACACCGTGATAAATTAAACTGATGTGAGTTTAACTGACCTGACCTCAAGGTTATCCTATCATCCTCCAATAGCGCCCCGCCAGACTAAACAGTTAGCGCAGGCGGGTGAACCATACCATCTACTAAAAAAATATGATAATAAACCCGAACACTTCACACAGAGCCATCTAGCTCCAAGCTAATTTGCACTTGCCCATTGCAATTTGCCAATAGCACAAATTTAAGCTAATTTTGCTTAAATTTGTTCTATGGGTACTAGACAACTGATATGAATCGTTAATATTGTTTGATAATATACATAAGAAACACCCAGACCAATTTATTTTAAATAATGAGGAATCGAACCAGCGACTATCGGAAGTAAGGCGGTATGCTAAACCGCTAGATTATCAAAGCCAAGAAATAAAAATCTATATAATTAACTTAGTTAAAGCACAGATAAGGTAATATTACGTAGTTAAAGTAACTAAGATGAGTAAGATATATTTGGCAAGACAGGTTATAAAATAAAACATAAGAAATTGTTTTAAATTATTGTATTAATAAATAATGGTAGTTCTATTTACATGACACATTCGATTACTCTTTTGTTTTGGCAGAAGACAATGAAAATATTGTTATACAATAGGTTCGCCGTAACTTGAACGCGACGAACATGGCGTCCGCCTTATATATGTAAAAAAAACACTCACATTGGTAATACTACCCACTTTCGATACAAACGAGCAACGTAACTAACGTATTTCAAATATTTTTGGTTATAACATAGGTATTGACAATACTGGTCGTTTTTGGTTTGAAAGCTATTCTACTGCATCAATCTCCAAATGATGAAGACAGTCAAACATACAAGCAGTCAAGCACTCGTGAGTTAATGGTTATATCACAGGTTTCTAGTGTGACCCTAAATGATACAATTCCCTTAAAAAGACCGATGCTCATCCACAAATGTTTACTTTACAAAATTTATTGGTGTTAAAAATTCCCTCTTTTAAAAGTGTATATAACAAAAATGATTTCAATATATTGATGCTGAATGCCTATCGGTCAATATTACAATAGGTATGATTTTATATATTCACAATATGATTTTTAAAACATTACGACTGCCTTTGATATGTCTAGTCACACAATGCATCGATGAGGAATTAACAATTTTGTTGGCAGCTAGTTTACTGGCAAGAAATTTAAGGGCATTTTACCAATGTACATAAATAATATCCGAATTACAATTTAGGCAAATTTCGTTACATACCAAATATGAAGCAATTGCATAAGATCGACGACGTATCGCACCATTCGTTAATTATAGTTTCACTCCTACGTTACAATGTACATAGACCCCGATGTCTATTATTGCTTAGTTTTTATAAGTTTTGCTCACAAAACTTGCATTTACTTATAAATAATTTCACGTCCGTCCCAATAAATTTACCATTCAATAAATAGGTACACGTAAAAAATATAAACTATATCAATAGTTTAATCTTTAAAACAAACTTTTCCTTAACCTAATTATATATTAATAACTATTCATCAGTATGTTTTCATTCATTTTCAATAATATGCCTACTTTATAATCTTTCCAAGCGCCTGAAAAAATTACTTTTTTTCCTCGCACGTATAATATTCTTATAAATGTACTTTCATCGTCTTTTTATTGTTATGCATCTAGTATACAAAATAATAAACACCGCAAAATTAGACAAGACTTGTTGACTTTAAAAAGTAAGGTCACATATTAATTGAAAATGGGCAAACAAGATTCAAATCATAATATCAACGCAGATTCCGTTATGGCCAAACATACAGGCACTCGAGTTGAAAGTAAAGAAGGCTAACTTGAAACATGCATAAAACAACTGCAATAATTTAATGTCGAGTCATAAAGCAAATATATTAAATATTAAAGTCTACAGTAACACTAAATTATTACAAAGAAAATGATTCGATAATGGTTCACGTAATACAATATAAATAAGTTAAATATTCTAGAAAGTTAAAAATACACACATCTTAACCTAATAGAAAAGCACTCATATGTTTGTGGCAAATACATGTCGCGTTACCGCCATGATTTATGTCAACTAACGCAAATAATACGCCAAAACAAATATCGAAACACGGAGGAATGATAGTTAATAATACAATAAAATAAACAACTAATACACAGACAAAGGTACAAAAATATCAAGAAACACATTTGCCGAATACGTCCGTCGACCCACGATTCATCTACGAACAAGCTTTTGATGTGATGTTTTGTACTTTTGTTCTGAATACGGTTACATATTATGTAGGGTTAGTAGTTTATGAGATCAATGCATCGCACAAAAACTTTATTATGCGCTTAATTAGAGAACTTCGACAAAATATGCAGATAAAACATACTAAAGTCAGTATTTTATACAGTACACAGAATATAAAATTAATTAAACTAAATTCCCAAAAGGTCATCAAGTCAACACCGGTAGTAACTAAAATTACGACAAGAATATACAAAAAATTCTACACAATTACGGTCACTTCGACAATACACAATCGATACTAACGCAATAACGTAAGACTAGCTGAAATGCGATAAACACTATAAAACTTAAAGTTACATCTTTGATTAAAAACTCACTCGGTATACTTTAAAAATACTACGTTAAAACGGTATTCAATTCCAATGTAAATGCATAAAGGAATCTCACGGGAAATTTATAGCACATTGGACAGTTCCGTTCCGACGATTATTCGAATCTTAATTTTACGAATTCAGGAACTACAGAACATTTGGAAAGCACATGGCTCTAATCAACGATTAGAAATTCTACATATTGAAAGGCAACATAGACCTTACAAACTACGGAAGGGACTTCGACTCCATTGTGTCGAAGTCGGTATCAGGCGTGCGACGCGTTGTCACCTAGAGCTAGTGTCAAGCAGAGGCGCCGGGATGACGTCATGCGGACGACGCCGAGGCGGATGGCTGACGTCAGGTGGCCGACTCCTGGTACGGACCCGTAACGGTGCACGGATGCATTGGGAATAATGTCGTCCATGACATCGTCGTCTGCGTCTCTGTTCTCAGCATTAGTTGGCCTTTTTTCTTCGCAGCATTAGTAGCTTCTACTAAAGCCGCTAAGGAGGTATAACCTCCAGGTATCGTATCTTCATTATTCTTCCATTTTTCCGATATCGGCGTTTGTCTCTGCTCCGGACCTGGTGTAGTAGCTGGCGAAGCAGAGTTTGAATTTTGTCCGGCCGCATTCGGTGTAGTCGGGGTTAAACCTAATTTCTTTAATCGCATCTTCTCTTCCCACTCCTCGAGACCATGTTTAGGACGATTTAAATTTCTATGCTGATAAAAAACCAAAGAAATCCTTGTTGGATTTATTCTGTTCGGATTTTTTACAGCTGTTGTAGAATGCATTTCATGTTTTGCACATTCGAACAATACGCTTCCATGCCCTAATGCTATGGCTACTCCTCCCATTTGGCTGTCTTTGAAACACTCTAAGTTGTCAGTAAAATCCGTTACTTCACCGATTGGTTCTGCTTTTGGTGGTTCAGGTGGATAAGGAATGGAGAATGGCGGTGGATATAAGCACCAGTTAGGCGACGATTGACACCAGTTCGGGTTTGGGTTCTGGTAAAAATTCGGCGTGAAATTGGGATTATACTGGTATCCATATGAATTATAGCAGTGCGAATTTCTCAAAAGTTCTTCTCTTTTATATTTTTCGGCATTATAATAAGCTAAACTGTTATAGTCGTTATACGTGTTCTCATAAGGATTAAAGTGCCCGTAAGGATTTGCTGGGAACGGGTACGCGTTGGGCACCTGGGGATAGTTACCATAACCCTGAATTGGAGTCTGATTAGGGTAAGTATTTTGATTAACAGAATGGAAATTATTTCCAGAAAATTCATTTGAAGGTTTATTCACCACTGCCATATTTTGATTAATTTCATCATGGCTTATGGTAAAGTTTGTTTGCGAGGTTGATGTTTGAGGTACAGTATTGTTGGGTGTGCTATTATTATACGGATTTCTATGCTCATATCCTTGGTTTAAGTGAGGTCTATCTGATGGTGGATAAGGCTTTAAAAACGTCGAATTCTCAATACCGTCAGGTGGGTGTTGTGATCTAGAAGGAGGTCTGGCTTTAGGAACTCTAAATAGTGAATTTTCATTTTCAGGGGTCAGTTGATCCTTTGGTTTCGCATCCCAACTCTTAGAGTCAGGAGATTTCCATACACTTTTACGAATATCTGGAGAACTATTTAATAGGTCATTACTTGGAGATTTTAATTCTGAGCCTTGTGATGGCGCAGGGGACTCAGGGGTGTTTTGTATGTTTTGTGATATTTCTGTGAGCCTCGGCGAATTGGGCATATCGAATTCGGGTATTTTGTTAGACATATCGCCCGTAAGAATATTCTGCTTTTCAGGTTCGACAACATTTTTCTGTGATAATTGGTCCGAATTAGTTTCGCTTCTATTTGAATCAGGGCTATAATTTGGTGGAACATTTAGATGCGCCGTGGTAGAGTCAGGATCTTCTTTCACAACATTGTTAAACATTTCAGTATTAGGGAAATCTGGCCACTGATTATGTGGGACGTTCATTTGTCCCGTGATATTGTTGAACGGATGGTTCCTTTTTTGTAAGCCGGCTGCAAAACTCGGCAGCTGATTTGGATTATTATTTTGACAACCTTCGACCATCGGCTGCACAGGATTTTGATTGTACATAGAATTCTGATGATGAATATTGTAACTTTGGTCATATGGATTATACGGGGAGTCTAAAACCGTACTAGATATCTGATTGCTTTGCAATTGTGCATCGGTGAAATTGTCGATCATGGTTGCCATATCTAGTAAGGCTGGGTTTCCTAAGTTTGGGTTCATAATACTGGAGTTCTGATTGTGCATATTTGATGGATTGACAAAAGCAGAGTTATATTGTGAGTTATTTGTAAACGCTGAAGGATTTGACTGGTTCAATGCTGGTGTGTGTGCCCTAGGGGAGGCGCTGCTTTGGCTTCGTGGGCTGGCGTTGTTGCGTGCGTCAGCTGGCTGTGGAGTTCTGGGGGCCGTGGTGGAGCACTGTTGGGATTTCTTTTGATTATTGTTAGGATTCTGTTGTGTGCCGTTGGTCGAATTGTTGCTGTCAGTGTTTTCCTCGTCTTTTCGCTTCTTGCCGTGACGTCTGCATGGTTGTAACGGCACAGATCGAACTCGGACTTCCATAGGATATCTGCAACGATTAAAACCTTTTGTAAGAATGATTCGTCACATTGTCCTTAAATTAAAGACTTAACTTCAAAATTATGAATAGCTAAAGCCAGATAGATAGGCTGGTGCTAGAGGTACAACCTCAGCACTAGCTTTAAAGATTTCGACAGACAGACATGCTTTGTAATATGCACACACAGTATGTACGTGTAAACTCGTTTGTATCTATAAAAAATGCGTGTTTGCCTCTATTGTAGTATAAAAAAAGAGATTATCGGTTGCAATATGAATAGTATGAGTGGAGTCGTACAATACCACTCACTTGTTGAGGACGTCGAGCGCGCCGCTGGCGACCTTCTCGTCCTGGCCCTGCTTGGAGCCGAACTCGTCGGTGGCGTCGAGCACGTACAGCGGCAGCACGTGCAGCTGCTCGTCGGGCGCGCGCTGCAGCCCGCGGTGACGGCCCAGCGTCACCACCGCCGTGCACCCGTTGTGCATATTATGCAAGTCGCGGTGCGCGTGTGCGCAGAAGTCTATACACGCCGTCACGCCTGCGATCAAACAATACAAGTAGAGTTGCGGATCCACCGCTTTACTACTATGGTACTATTACGGTGATTTAGCGGTTTAGAACACCGCCTTGTTCCCGACGGGCGCGGGTTCGATTCCTCGCAAGGCATAAATATTTGTATTCATGAGTGTAATTGTTTGTATCGGTGTACTTACATCGATATCTGATTACAATTCACACAGCACAAAAAATCGCATCACCGTCTGCATAAACTTCTTCCAGATTTTGAACAGCTCAGCACATGTCCGTGCTCAAAAATAGACCACATTCACCTCGTGAAACGGTTACAGACAGACAGTAGAATTGTCGTCTGTCTTCTATCTAATAAACGACTGAACGGATTCAAATAAAATTTGGAGTAAAAATAGACACAAGAACAGACACAGCCAATATCAAAGAAAGGCAGACAAGTTGCGGATAATGGCTAGTGAAAATAAAAATTTAACACTATATTCTAAATAGTTTACTCAGAAACAATAGTCACAATACATAGTATGCGGGCTTTATCTTTTAAGTTTATATAAATTGTATTACGGTTCAGTTTGTCAACACTGTATTCGTTGCGACTTCACTATGTTACATTATATTTCTCAGGCCGAATGAAACCTTGCAACACGGAAGATTCTGGAAGAATTTCCTGCCTTCTGTCAATGTTTTAAGTATACTACATTTTAAAGATGAATTATTGTTATTTTTAATCGATGAAAGTTTTCACGATTTTTTATATGAAGAAATATAATTTCTTGCAAGTAGTCAAAATTCAACAGAAATTATACATATATAACAAAAATCCACAAAGAGCTAATCAGAGGTATATGGTCGTTCCATTCACTTATCTACGTTGAAGAGAATGTAACATTTCACTGAAAATATTTGAATGCGATATGGTAGATGGAAACATTCATTTACAAAAAAAAAAATTGTCTCTATTGTTTAGTAATTAGTAGTTTGGGACTAGGTGGCGTTGTGTGATTTAACCTGGGCTACTATTACAATCTACTAGCAGAACAACCAACATACCAGAAAACGGTCGCCCTGGCTTAAATCCCAGTCTGCAATCGGAGGCCTCCTTCTCAAACTGACATTGGTTCTCAAATGACTTGGGCGCTAGATTCATGTACAGCGGGCTGAGCAGTGTTGCCAGCACATGCATGCGCTCCTCGATTTCGCTCTCCTCACTTTTGACCGAAAGTCGAAACTTGCGGACGGTTTTCGAACGGGCGTACTTGCATCCATTGTAATACATGGACCAGGAGCAGCCGAAACTGTAGGACGCGCCGCATGTCTCGGGGTCCAACCCTGCAAGGCACCATAAGAACATGACATGTAAATCTTCGATGGGTAAACTATTATTATGTAAGTGAACCAAATATTATATAAGTGAACCAAGTATTATATAAGTGAACCAAGAAACAAAATATATTTTGCATCTTCTATACTAAATCGATCTCGTGATTGCATAGTTTACATGAAGGATTTAGTATTTTTTTTTATTTTTCCCTTTTTTTACGAAAGTTTTTCAGAAAAAAATATTTATAAATTAAAATGCCGTATGGTATTCTCTACCAGCTAACCTTTAGGTAATAATAGTACATATAGAGTGAGCGTATTAGGTAAATTATGGCATAAACTGACAAAATTTATATTATTTCAAAGTAAATTGTCATAAAAATAAAAATCAAATATAATGCTTACCCTGACAAGCACAAGTACGGTTTTCATTTGTAGCGCATCTTCTAGTAGTTGGCAAACCGTATCTGTTTAGTTTGTGTGATAATAAGGTGTAGTCCAAATCTGCTTCCGATTGAGGGATACCCTCCCAGGCGACGAGGCAAACTACAATCCAGGATGTTGCGCATTTGTGCCCGTTTCTATACTTCACAACAACTAGTACCTTCTCTGTGTAATTAGACCGCCTTATCACCTGTAATTTTATATATATCTTATTTAATGAAATGCATATTTTGTTAAAAAATCAAACTATAATAAAAATATGGTACTGACACTGGTGAAAACTCTAAAAATCTTAATCCATAAGATTTAATATTTATGTATTTTGAATAATGTAATATTTTATTGTTTTAATATATGTATTTTATGTTACCAATTATTAACTTTATCATAAAAATATGGTTCTATTCAGAATTACCTGCTTTAAATAGCGGGTTAGAAAAACTTATAAGAATAATTTGTGAACATACTTTGAGAATTTACGTGTTTAATCGTAATATACAAATATTATATTAAACTTCCAATTATATTTTCAAACAATCTTATTTACTTTATTATTGCAAAAGCAATATTATCATATCTGTATTTTTAATTAATAGTAAATATATAAAAGTTTTGAGATCCATACACTCACCCACTTTGCCATAGGGCAACCCTGAGGAGACTTCCCTTCTTTGCCAGTGTAGCAGACCTTTTCTATCCTTAACTCTTTACCAGATAGCCCTGTTCGGGTTTCTAGATCTTTCCTTAGTTCTACTAGAGATGTTGCGGCTCCTGTAATGTAAAATATTTTATGTAATCATGTTTGAGATTTATATTATTTACACCTAGCCTTATTTTCTTATTACTTACCTAAATGAGTATAATAACTTCCAGGTTCTGGAGGATTCTTGTCCGCCGGAAAACAATTACAATCAGGCACTTCGGTTCTAGAATTAATTCTTAACTTCTCCAAATTCTCCAGATACTCTTTTGAATAATTAAACTGGTTCTCTTTGGAATTCTTTACTATTGGGTCTGGAATTGGAGTGCTTGGTTTCGATGGATTTTTCGAGTCCTTATCAGTTTGTTCGGGTTCATCTTCTATAATTTCATCTTTGGTTTGAAACCCTGGACATGCGCCATCTCTCAAATGTTCTGGTGGAGGCTTCTTTGTAGAGCCTTGACGGCAACAAGAGTATCCCACTTCATTTCTAAAAATAACTGGGCCACCGTCACCCCGAAATAAGTAAGGTTCATTTCTTGGCGGCAGATTGTAACAGATATTTTTGTATATTTTGTGTCCAGGTGGAGAATGCTCTGATTTTATTTGTTCTATGTAGTATGGCGGTTTTGGATCTACCGAAGTATTTCTATCTGAATTTACTCTGATCTCTGACGCCTTGATTGCTTTTAAATCATTATAACTCCTATTGTATTTTTGAAAGCCCATATTTTCTTGCAGCCTGGGAGTATGAGGATATGTTTCTGATGGATCCGGGGCTCGCTCGTAACCTCCAAAGTTGTTTTGAAAATTCTGGAAGCTCTGTGATTTCGACCCAAAGTTTTCTTGTTTAATTGTTGAAATTGGTGGTAATTGTTGAGATCTAGCAGCCATACCATTTGGATATTCTTTATAAGAATTAACTAAAGCCTGATCATTTTGTTTTGGATACAAGTTGTTATGATTTATTGAGTTGTTGTCATTTTCCATTAACCTTTCGTCTTTATGATATTGGTAGTTATCTGGTGCTTCTAATTTTGGTATTAAAGGAGCCGATGGATGTCTGAATTTAGGATCATAGGTTTCTCTATTATCATAAGGTTTTCTTTGTGGATTTGTGTCTCTAGTTGGATTATTTATTTGTTGATTCATTTCCGATACAGGTCCAATGAGCATCTTTGACTGAAAATCTTTACTATCTTGTTGATTGTAATTACTATCATTACCGCATATTTCTGCAAATTTTTGGCCTTCATATGGTGTATTTGAGTACGTGCTAAATTGACTTCTCATATCCGAATAAGGCGGTAATTTTTGATGAGTTTTAGATACATTTTTTGTTGTAACTTGTTTATCATAACCTTTCGAGACATCTGTCCCCCCCTCCCATACGTGGTGGCCACCACCTCCGAATTCGTTCACGCCGTAAGCATGAGCGTTTTGTGAATAATTACCAGCGACAGGATATACCTGTTCGCCTAAGCGGTAATTATCTCGGAGATGGTGGCTATACGATAAAAAATGACCGGTATTATTCCTGTCATCGTTGACGGAGAGTACCCCGCCTTTCCTATCATCTATTACACGAGGCGGTCCTTCCCCAGGATCCCCTTTATCAGGTGGCGAATTAGTGCCATCCCGAGTATGATTCTGTTTATTTAATATCATCGTTTTCAGTCTCGAGTTCAAATTAACCCTGTCTGATTGTGAGAACATCTGTTGATCCGATTCTTCTTGCCTTTGTTGTTGCATTTGTTGATTTTGCATCTGCTGGTTTTGTAATTGATTTTGAATTTGCTGTTGTTGGTTTTGCATTTGTTGTTGTTGGTTTTGTAATTGTTGCTGATTCTGTAGTTGTTGATTTTGAATTTGCTGCTGATTCTGAATTTGTTGTTGCTGATTCTGCATTTGTTGTTGGTTCTGTAATTGTTGATTTTGTATTTGCTGCTGGTTTTGCATTTGTTGATTCTGAATTCTTTGGTTATGCTGCCACTGACGCTGTTGCCATTCGTTTTGATTTTGCGTCTGAGCATTTTCTCTGTATTGCCCGCTATTGTAGCCGCCCGGGTACCCGCTACAATCGAGTGAAGCTCGCGGACCGTTGCTCCCCTGCAGGTACCCAGGCTCGGCGTTTCCCGAATGCTGTCCATTAGGTGTATTTTGTTCCTGTCTCTCCCCTTCATTACTTGTATCGCCTGTGCCATTCTCCTGGTTCGTATATTCTTCTGTGTGTTCTGTATTATATTCAGTGCGTTCGTAGTTTTGTTGACTAACTGTATATACGGGTGCTGATGTAGTTGGCACTGAGTTTTGGAAAGAAGCTGCAGATGCTGGTCTGGAATCATTTCCAGTTGTCCCACCCGGTGTGGGAGCTTGCTGTGCGTACTGCTGCTGATATTCGGTTGTGTAATGCGGTGCTCTAGGCGATGGAACTGGCGTGTACACCCCACGATTGGTCGAGGGTGGTCTTTGAGTAGGAACTGACTGGACTCCCGTTTGGTAGTACGTGTTGTTCGTAACATCGAAGGTAGTGGCGACGTTTTGGACGGCGTAGGTTGTGTTAGCTTGGTAGTGAGGTGACGTGGCGTATGCTGTATGATTGCCTTGATAGTCTAACGTCGTTTGGCTGGTTTGTGTTGGAAGCTGCTGGATGAACTGATTCTGCCAACCTGTTAATAGAAAATACTGTTGTAACTTTGTAGTTAATTAATACAAGGAATTTGACGATATAATTTAATTAAATATTAATTATGTAGCTTAGCTAATATAGCGTTAACAATTATTGAACGTTAACATGGTATTATATCTGATCGCCCTATTGCACGCAACAAGATATCATGAGGGCGAATTTAGGCTGTTTTATCTAAAAAGAAAACAATGTTGCTGGAAACAGCCAGTATTATAAATGCATAAATATGTTTTTCTGTCTATTTAAATATGTTTGTCTGCCGTATGCCTATCGGTTTGATATCTTTTCAGAATTAAATGGCTTAAATAATTTGCATAAAATTTGGCAGGAACATAGTTTGTATCACAAGACATATTTATCTTTTATTTAAAAAAGCAGAACGCTAGACTTGTCGCGGCTAAGAGTTAGTTAAAGGTTTTATATGATAAATGGAGCACTCGTACCTTGTGAGGGGTCCGTCTGCCATGCTGTGGGAAATCTGTTGGGATCGCCGGCGTAGAACGGCATGGGCGCCTGTAACAATAATAATAATACAGTTTAGTTACAGATATATTAAGTAATTGTAGAACACAAGACAATACATATTTTTGATGTCTATACTACTAATTATAACCGTGAAAGGTGTTATTAAAATCGTCATATTTTTCACTTTAAAAAAGATACGTAAATGTTATGTTATATTAATTAAATTGTTGTATTCGTATGATTTATCCTAAATAATATACATCATCATCTGTTAATTAGCGGCAATTTAATATTTAAGGAAAATGTATTCTTTTAGCACTGTGGTAGTCTTTATACGAAGTTAGCTAGCTGCATGAATGTTAGTTCCTCTATCACATCCATTTCACTGCAATGACATTACAGCGGACTAAACTAAATACGCTGCAATTTAACTGCATAGGAACTTCTAGAACTTCCAAGTAATTCTTCTGGAAAATAATTTCAGAGGAAAAAAATAACAAAGCCTTTCTATTTCCGTATCCATATTTTTTTCAAATAAAATTAAAATGTGGTAAGTATATTTTTTTCTTATGATCTACTTGTTAGTATTACAATTACAAATATGCTATTTGTGGAAATGAACCATTCTTTGTGTGAAAGCTCTTCCATCTTTCTCCATGATTCTCTTTTTTTGCCCATAGTTTTCCTATATAGTCCAATATATCAGAGGAGACTTTCCAGAGGAAATCCTCTGGGAATACTTTCCATAGCAACTTCTCTGGAATTGCAACTCATGACGCAGTTAGTTTATGTTTTTTTTTTCATTTTTCTCTTTGTGCCTTGTAAAAAATATACAGAGAATACTAAGGAACATGTCTCTTTTTTAATCAATTCTTCCAGTCGTCCTTCTCAAGGTTTTTATCTTATGAGCAATGTCTATGGCGATGTTAATGTAATGCAAGCAAGCAGAGCATTTCAAGAAGCCAAAACAGGTAACAAAAATAATCATAGGCCTCCCGTACGAATGCCATAAACAGTGGCGTGCATAGAAAAGAAAATATTCCTCGTACAAGAGTTACGAGTATACATTGGCAGTTTAAATCGGTCGAGGTTACCGAACGCCTTGTTATTGTGTGCCGAGCTACGTCACTGTCTGCTTCTGTCGTAATCACATGTTGACCGAGGTCGGACAAAGATTCGATTTTTTCGAATATTTAAAACATTTTCTTAAAGAAATTGTCACCTGATGATATTTCAAGAGTGATATTGAATATAATAATTATCTTAGAACAAGCCACACATACACACAGCGTCATCTAAACCCAAGTTAAGCTAGCTAAAGCTTCTGTTACTATATAACTGATATAAATACATAGATATATATTTTTTCGTAAATACATACCATATTATACATAGAAAATACCTAGACCGATACAAACAATCATACTCATGAATACAAATGTTTATGCTGTGCGAGGAATCGTACCCGCGACCATCGGATGTAAACCGGTGTACTAAACCGCTAAGCCACCGAGGCCGTCTGTATATACTTTTCCAATAGCGCCACGAATATTTAGACATATAGATCAGCTGAATGTAAGTGAGCGTAGCAGACCGTAGGTAACATTGTTAATTCCTAGTGAATTCACCACGATGCGCTAACTGGCTTAACTTTATGCTTATCCTATCATCCTCAACTGGTGCCCCACCAGAGTATACCGCTAGCGGGTCACTATTCCATAATTATCAGTTCAAAATCAAATTGAAATTAAAAAATCATTTCTTACTGTAAAGATAATCATAATAATCAATCAAAAAAAGTATAGCTACATGTTAATAAAATTATTAAAACATTAAATAACTGCTGTGAGAATTACATAGTGATATTGCCTTGAAAATTATGAATGGACCGTTTAAAATAAAGCCATTAAATAATAAACTGTTCCATGGATTAAGTTTGTATTACTTTTTAGCTCTTGTTTATGCTAGTTGTTGTGACATTCTCAATTTTTGTTGCTGCCGTCTTCAAACTGTTCTAATGATGCTGATAACATCCATTTTGGTTAAGTAATTAATCATAAAATTTATATAATCAAAATAAAAACAATATATAATTTGACCCACTCAACACTTCCTATGCTACCACAGTCAACCCAATACAGGGTGTATTGGATTGACTGAAAGAGATCTTATCTCTTTTAGAGATAAGTTCTTTGTTAACATTATTTCTAATGGACATGCCTAAATAATGTATTTAAGTGCAATAAAGATTATATAACAATTATTTATTTGTAAGCAAACTTTATACAAATAATTAATAAAGCGGCGGAGGGGGGCAAATATAAAACACTAATTTTCATCATATTATCCCACTGGAAATTATAGAAACAACAAACATACGATTGTATTATACGAGAACCAAACTCACGAGCGTCGGAAAGTAAGATAATCTGTCAAACCGGTAATGTTATCGTTGAGTTTTGTGTCAGTATATGTTCATTGAAAAAATACTTTAAAAAACTGTCAGAAGCATATTAGCAGGCACGTACAGCAAGGCTCTTTTATAATAAACCATAAATTCTAGATAAAAGTGTAATACTACAACTTTGTAACAATAATTGCCTCTGTAATTTATAAGAGCTCATATTAAATATCCAGTGCCGCCATAAAAAACCGAAATCCTTAATTAAAAAAAAACTCCACTCCGCCAGCAACAAACTGAGGCTGGTAAAAATAAAAACCGGGTAAGTAACCTTTTTTATATACAGTTAAATGTGTTGATTTAAGGTTTTACATAAAAAATACTATAAAAATTAAATAATATAATAGAACAGAATAGAAAATTATTTATTCAAATAAACTTACATTAAGTTGAAACTATCACAGATTGTGTTGTAAAATATGAGTCCACAATTTGCCAGCCTTTTAGGAAGGTATATCTTCTTTCCCTTTGAGAAAGATTGTAATATCTTAAAGTTTATGTAAAATTTTACACACGTAGCACGTGTGACTGTGTAATTAAAACTTTGTTTTGTCCTCTTAATGACATTCTATAAAGAGATTACACGTTTATTAAGCAATTACGCATGTAATTACGACTTCGACGCTAAATTGAGTCAAATTATGTACGCTCACTCATATTTGTCTAAACTACTCGTTTAAACTATGAAAGTAAATTATTTGATTTTTTATATATAATGGATGAAATGGATGAACAAAAATATTAAAAACTTTTCAAATTTTTTTTATAAATACTGTATGACTAGAGAATCATTTCTTATATTTATACTAAACATTATTTAATTGTAAATTTATATATTCCTACAATACTACTGCATATGTGATAACTCCAAACAGTCGCTATTAAAAAAATCTTTAAATTTTAGTTCCGGAGAAAGAAATAAAAAATAGAGAGAAAGAATTCTTTGTAATAAACGTACGGGTTATTGAAAAAATACTAATTACTTTAATATCTCCGTTATTTATTGTCCAATAAATGCAAATTTTGTTACATTTCTTCACAAAGTGAGCCTTATCCAGGATGTTTGTAAGAGATCGCTTTAAGCGATAAAGACGCCTTTTCTTGAGCATATTTCTGTAAAATTTTCTTTTATAATTACTGTTCCTTGCGTTTATTGCGATATATATTATTATTATTAGCTATTTAGAGAATATCGTGATATCTAATAATTGTATGTAACATCACTTTATACGTAGACCGAATTTAATTCAAAGAAAATAACTATATTTATTTATACAGGCTATTTTCTTGATATACGACGGCTGAATTGCTAAGAGTAAGTCGTTATCGCACACGATTTGTTAACGGACGTACATAACGGGACAAATAGTTAAGTCAGCTACATTGTTTTGTTTCTGGAGCAAGTCGTAACTCATCTGTAAAGACTCAGGTCAATAGTAATTATTTATTACGCCCCACTTTAACAATGTTAGGTATTCACGCTACATCTCTCCGGATTTATATTATTTGAAAGATGCGGATATTAATTTCAATAGATAATTTATGTATGTCATACTAGCTGTGTTCGCTTTTTCACCAGCATGAAATTTATAGCCCATGTGTTATTCTGATGCATAAGCTATAGAACTAAAGTGTTATAAAAATCCGATCAGTAGTTTTTGTATGTAAGAGTAACAAATATCCATCCATACACACAAAGCTTCGCGTTTATAATATTAGTAAGATTTATTATTGTAATATTAATTCAAGTATGATCATAACTAAAAAACCATACCCCTATACTATTATACATAAAATTTAAAATTAAACAATTTATATTTATTATATTTTCTTGGTACAGTTTTTCTAAACAATGAGAAAGGCAAAATGTTTCAAGCCATTATTTATATATTTTTAGTTGAAGTAAAAAAAATATATCAATTTCAAATTGCGAATTCATCTTTTTTGTTTAAATGACAAAGTGCGGCATTTGTTTCAGTACTCAACTTTGTATTAATTAATTTACTTTGTGGCCAGGCTCATAACAAATTCAATTGTTTCAACTAGAGGCCTTGTTAGGCACTCTGCCAGCATACGGCTGCATCTTGACGTTTTTCGTTCGTAACTCTATTATTTTTATGACAGCCGCTGCCGAAAGTTTAATTGGCACACCGAATCAAACTTCGGAACTAATGATCAAAAGAGAATGCAGGATTTTAATTGCCTCATATGTTTCAGTGAAGTATTTTAATGTTCACTTTATATACCCTAATTTATAGCATGACCAGTGAAACTATAGGTACGCAGATGTAAATAATACTCTTCTTGGATTTTCGAATATTTCTGTGCCTCAATCGGGAATCGAACCGGACGAAGTGTAAGAAATTATGTCCAATACATAAATAATGTTTCTATGACTATTCCAAAGTTTATATATTAAGTTTATTTGAATAAACATTATTTCTATATTATTGATTAAAAATATAAATTACCACAATACTTTTGATATTAGCCAGACTAAATCTTACCACCGTTAGGGTTCATATGTTGGGGTAGTAAACCATAGTGGTACGATGTTCGGTCTTAAATAACATAGAGTAAGTATCTAATAAAATGGTACTTAACCATATAAACTTTACCTAGCTTAGGTCATAAAAATACACTAAACCAGAACGATGCTAAATGTTAGGAAAAAATGAATTTGTAAAACAAATAAAAGCGCAAAGTGAACTCAATTAAAATTATCAAACTGCCTCTCGCTCGGCCATGTTTTGTGGAAGGAACAGATAAATAAATTAAGTAATTCGTCGGACGAGACATCCTGTATTTCGCTGAAGGAAAATTGTGCAAAATTCAATTTTGTCTGCGACGTACTCAAAATTACTTTCATACTGTACTCGTAGAAGTTTTGATTATAAATTATTTTGTTCCCTTTTAGTTATATTGCATTTAATAAGGTTTCCGTTTAGTATTTTTAGCCGCCTTCAAAAATGAGGCTTTTAAGGAAAAGGTTCTGCTTTTAAGGTAAAATACGGCAGTATTTTTATATGCATCTTATTATTTAATTGAATTCAGACTACGAATGGCTCATTAAACACCGTGATATTTTGTTATTATGCTTTCATTTCGATTCCTCTTATAAGCTATGTTATACGTTATATATGTACTTATATATTTTGAATGTGTAAATTCATTATATAGAACACTACTATTTATGTATTTAAAAAAGATAGTCAAAAATAGGTACGAATAAATAGACTGTTACGGTAAAACTTAAAAAGAGTATATTTTTTAAAATTACATATATAAAAAAAGTAACAAAACTTACACATAGGAGCATAGGTGGTGATAGTCTATTCATAGATAGCGGGAATTGTACGTCATTTGAGAATAACGAGCGAACGGTTAAGTGAGCCGGAAGCTTTGTAGATAACGGTTACAATAATTAGGAAAACGTAACGCAATGCTGAACTAATTTAATTAGCGCATGAGATTGATTTAACTAGGTTTTTACAGAATTTAATTATACACGCCAAATGAGAGGCACTTTATTGGAAATACCACAAAATTGGCTTTCCATATATCCCCACACCTAATACTGGATTAACTAAGATATTTAAAATCTTTGAAATTAGATTTTAATGTCAAAACTTTAAAGTGCATTTTCCATAGTTTGTAATTCTTTAGTTAGCCCAGTATTGTACTAGGTGTGGTATATGAGATAAGCGGTCTCGATTCTCATTTCCTTAAACGGCTTATAAATGTATTACAGCTATTAAACTGTTGTCCCATTATTTCAAGACATTATATTAATTTGAAAGAAAGTGACATATTACTTTTTTTCGCACTATTTTTATCAGTATTGATCTGTACAGCTTCACTGGATGAAAATGGGGGAGAGTGTTGAGGGCTCTAAAACCGAGGACTCATGGCTAAAAGCAAATTTAAGGCTTCAGGCCGTCGTAGTTTTAATCCCTAATTGAATAGATCGATATGATGGTGGACAAAACGCGTTATTTTGCGGCATTGAAACCGCAACCTTCAGGAAGAAAGGCAAGACTAAACCGTTAAACCCACTGGGATCACATAGTCAAAGTCAAGTCAGGGGTCAAATAGTATTCAAAAGTATAATATATATTAAGCTTATAAAATTTGTATTAAATAAAGAATACCTTCGAATATAGAAATTATTTTTAATTAAATTCATATTTCAACCACAGTATAAAAAATATAAATATTTAACTACGAATTATTTTAATACACTGCTTGTTATGAAATTAACCGGGTTTTTCCTTGACACATAATTTATTGGCTTATCATTAACATATTTTTTAAACCAGGTCAAATCCGGGGAAATCCTGCAGGAATGCAACCTTATTAGAATAGGGAAAATGGTTTGTCAATAATATAGAATAGTGGTTTCATTGGTGGTAATGTATAGTACCAGTTCCTCACTCGATATCTACTGAAAACCATTGCGGTTAATTGTTAGTGAATTCGTTACGATCTGGTTTCATCCTAATATTATTATCTTGTTGCGTAGTTTAGCGTAGTTTTTAAAGTGTGAAAAGTTTTTTTAAAGTGTGGGAAATCTTCACCAGGAACATCCATCACCGGGAGGAAGCGGGTGGTATAAATTCATTTGTATTACGAGTAAAGACCATTTTTAAACACTGTAGATTTCAGTTTGAAGTTTTCTCTAAGAGTCGTTCGGCCCATGTTCTGGATGATACCTCATGTTGCAACCGTCATTAGTCAGTCGACCAACCCCACGCAGCTTCTGAATCTCATCGCGGTCGTACTATGTGAAATTACTAAACTTGTCGAACCTTTCTTACAGCCCTAGTCGGGTAATAGACCAGAGAAGGATATGACAGGTTATCCGCAATTTTGGGGTGTGAAGTTTGGGGCCGCGGGGCCTCTTTGCTCTGGTAACAACGACATTCGGAGTTGTGAGCGTCTTCTAGTCTGGCTTAAGCTAGGGATTGTTAATAATAAGAAATTATATATAAAAAGTTAACTAAAGAATTAGTGCCATACATCATAGTCTTCAGAGAATGAAGACTATATCTTTTTAGCGATGACAATATGATGATGCACCCGCCTGTGCTAACGGTATACGCTGGCAGGGCTCTGATGAAGGATGATAGGATAAGCATAAAGTCAGGACAGTTTGCCCATCATGGCGCAAACAGAAATTTACCATGATGGTATCTAAATGTCTTCCTCCGCTTGAAGATTTTCTAAAAATCCGCTACCCCTTGGAAGACTATATTAGGTAACGTAACGACACTTACCATGGGCTGGCTGGGGTGTTCCTGCTTCATGCCTGCTGTGGTAGCGGGGGCTGGGCTGGGCGCGGCTGGCGCTTGGGGGGCGGGGCTGGGGGATGCCGCGGCGGGCACGCCGGGACTCAGGCCGGGCACGCCGGGCACGTTCGGACCCCCGGGGACACCGGTGCCGAGGGGTTTGCGACCACGGTAGCTCTGCAACGAAAATGGCACTTTGATACGGGAATACTTACTATTCCAATTAATGTTTAGGAAAAATAGTACCTATGATTTTTGTGATAGAATACTAATTGGAATGGATGTACCTAGTATAGATATAAGGAGGGATTTGTGGTTTATATTTTTTATGCAATTCTAAAAGGAAAATGTATGATAATTCTATTTGTTTTTAAATATTTAATATAGTACGCATTTTTATGTTACTTGTGTGGTGACTAAAGTATTTTAATGTAATTGGAATGTCAAACAAGCTGATGGTAAATGGTAACTCTCACTTGCATAAACAGCACCATGGGTACGTAGTCATGCAACACCAATAGTACTACTCTTGCATTGCCGTTCCAGAGGACTATTATACTTTCATACCTTATAATTTCACTGTCATATCTCACCCTTTAAACCGGAATAGCAAAACAAGCGAATAGCGGTACAATTATGTAGAGTTACCTTCGCAGACAACTTTGAACAAAGTGTCCCAGAGGTGTGGGTGGTGGTTCTCCTTTGAAGTTTTAATACAGTAAGTTAAGCAAATGCAATCAATTGTGATAATATAAGTGAAGACAGGAGCGGAGAAATATGGTAGGCATAATGATATTATTAGTTACTTTGGTAATAAATTAGGCCATGCATTATGTATCATTCATAATAATAACAACATAAAGAAACCGAAAACATTCTGCCAATACATTTATTATCATTAAAATATGATTAATGGAATATGTATTCCATTATATCTATGAACTCTATATCGAGATTTATATTGCTTGTATTATATTTCGAAACATTTCAATTATTTATTATACCATTTATTATTAGGATAATCTTATTATGGGTGCTATTAAATATCAAAGTTGCAGTACATTTATCGATCATGAGCACGATCGAGTAATAAAGTTCAAGCAACTTCTGAGATGAATACAATCATTGCATACAAAATGGGTCACTCAGTTAACTGCAATCGTCTCATTTCTACCTCGGCCTAGTTACAAATGTACTTGCATTAATAAATTTCCGGAACAAAATGAAATAGTCTGTACAATATAAACTAGATGTTAATAACGGTAATGCTCCATCATGCACGATACGACAGTCTTCCTTTTTTGAATCGTGCGCTCTGATTGGAAGCCGCATGTACGGTTCGCTTCGCAGTAATTTAAAATTGAAAACGTACTTACCTCATTCGAGTTATAGGTTAATGTATTACAGAGTAATAAGTCTTAGAAATAGAAACAAATACTGAAGGTCTACATTTTTTATGATTGACATAATTTACTATGCAATGAAAAACTACTAATAAAGGCCTTTTACACAATCACATAACGATATGAATTCCATTACCACCACCACACTATTGTTTATGGTGCTTAAAGAGATTCTATACAAAAAAAAGTAACACATCTGCAAAGGATGTTCGAAATTTAAATTATTTTTTACTGCATAAATCCAAAAAGTGTACCAGATCTAATTTCGAATAATTGAAATATGGGTCTATTGTATGCATATTCCCTTCCTTACGTGTTCAACACACCGTAATAATATAGTTATTTCCAACTCTTCTTTATGGTTCGATGCTTTTCGTACAATTAGAATCGAATTCTTTAAATTAATTAACATTCACAGAGCATGTGAACGGTTCTCGAGGCTCAGGCATTCTTTCTATATTCTTTTTAGTATCAATAAATAATATAAATAACTAAATCCCTCTAAAATGTATACGACCTGATACAATGGAGGGGGAAGATGGTACCTGACGATGCGCTCTAACGATTCAGGTAAAACGTTCACCAGTCACTTAAATACAAAATATTGTTAATAACCGTTCATTCATTTTCTTGTGATGGAAAACCTACTCGCAAGCAGATAGTCACTAACTGTAATAAGGCTTAATAAGTTTTCGGTGATTAATGAATTTTTCGTCTAATGTATAAATATTAATTAGCGAAAATGTATACCATTAAATATAAATAATTATATGTTAAAAATTAGTACAACTGTAATATGAACACTATTAATGTAATGTAATTAGAATAGCAGAGAAACTGATGGACTATGCACACAGCTCTAAGGACATCACGTTATCATGTGATACACGTGATACAACCAAACAATCCTACAACAACGCACCCAAATCACATACAAAAAATAAAAAAAAATAAAAATAAGTGCACTAACAATAATATAATAGTTTAATATAATCCAATAATATTATATTTTCTGATAGTATATGTAGATACTACCTGAACTTGGGGAATAGAAATACAATATGGCACTCAATCAAGATATTTGCATTGTGTTTTTTACAAAAACAAATTATACACTAACCCACCCTGAAAATGCACGTTCACTTTTCAATAAATAATAAATATATTTATTCAATCCTAAGCATTACATTTTACGGTTGATTATCTCGGTTCATTACATAACAATAACAGAGTTCCCAAACGCTGTAATCCCAGAACTCCCAGGTAATAATAGTTTTAAAAAATCTTTACTTTAAGAAATACGATAGCGTGAATATTATTTTTTATAAAAAATATAAGAACTGTGTAGTCAATATTTGAATTAAGAACATTGTTTTTTTTCTTCAGGCTCCGGCGAAATGTTATATATTGCTCCTTGAGATATTTATATTCCGAATGGAGTGCAAAATCACACATATATATGTAAATTTTGTTTGTTTTAGTTGAACTTGTTTGTATAAAATAATTGTGTTTATTGCTGTCTAATGAATATATTGGAAATTAATGCACAATTTATATTTATATATAATATATAAGTGTAGGTTAAATATTTCTAAAATATTTTGATTTAGAGTTATATATTACCAAGTATTCGTAAAACTCAGGATTTTATGTCGTGTTTCAAAGTATTTTGAAAACTTAAATTTGCCGGATGAAGTCTGATTTTATTAAAGGTAAAACACGAAGATACGAGAATATGTAAAACAGAATTAAAGATGCAGTTTAACGTAAATTGTTGGGCAATAATTCAAAATTTGCGTTGTACGACAAAGCCCGCCGTACATTAAAGTGCAAACAAAGACCTTTTGTCGCGCCAAGCAGTCCGCGCGCCGGCCCTGTAAACTCCGCTTTTGTTCAACTTGTGCAATTGGCTTTGGACTTTATTTAATTGTTTTTGGGTGTTGCGACACAAACTCGTTAAGTGGTGATCTGTAGCTCTGTGGTTAGTTTTGACAGTTGTATTTGCACAGATAACATAATAAATCTAGATGTAGCCGATATAGATGTACCCAACTTCTGACCCAGGTCGCGTCACGGTTTTTTCGTAAGTTACTTAATACAATTTTTAGGACTAACTGTCTGTTGTTGCAGGTAGCTGATGTAATACGGAGTAACAGGGGGGAAGGAAATTGTTAGTAATGGGAACTAGTAACTCCCATTGCTAGCAATGTACCATGTCAGGTCGACCTCCACGCGGTTCCCCCTGGAAACCATCGTGATAAATTCCAGTTGAATTTATCACAATGGGCTAACTGACCTGACCTCATGCTCATCTTATCGTCCGCCACTGGTGCCCCGCCAGCGTAAACCGTTAGCGCAGGCGGGTGCACCATGCCATTATCATATACAAAAAAAAATACGGAGTAACTGGGGGGAAGGAGATTGTTAGTAATGGGAACTAGTAACTCCCATTGCTAGCAATGTACCATGTCAGGTCGACCTCCACGCGGTTCCCCCTGGAAACCATCGTGATAAATTCCAGTTGAATTTATCGCGATGGGCTAACTGATCTGACCTCATGCTCATCTTATCGTCCGCCACTGGTGCCCCGCCAGCGTAAACCGTTAGCGCGGGCGGGTGCACCATGCCATTATCATACGAAAAAAAAAAATAAGGAGTAACTTAGGCTACTTTTATTTTAGAAAAATAAAGTTAAATTCCACGCGGATGATGTCGCGGGTACAGCTAGTTAAAAATAAAAAAAGCATTATGAAGTGACCGGTACACGTCAATACAGTATCAGTCGATCGGTGACGTATTATTTTAACGTCGGTACGCTTTGGGCCAAGGTCGTTCCCACCTTTGATCTCTTTGGCAAGCAGTCAACATGTAATCCCAAATTCTGTGCGAATTACGAATTAATTTAACAAAAACTGTAACGCTAATGTTTGTTGTTCCCATTGATTTACACGCTATATATTACAATAGTTGCAATGTCTGTTATGAATGTTTATGTTCTATAAATCAGCTGTACCCGGCCAGCGTTACAATGCAATATAAATTAAAACAGTGCTTTAAATTATTGTTTGTTTCCATTACTTTCTATGTTACTATAATTCACGCAAGCATAATGAAATCATCACAAAAAATACACAATTTTTTTTATTAATAATACAAGGGCTTTGGAAGATCTAAATATTTTTTTTTAAGAATTGTCCAATTTTATTTTTTAATAATTGACCTTACATGTAACATGGCCTTTCATGATCCACCGACCTTTACTTATATCTCTATAAATAACTAGCTAGCATTATTATAATAGTCACACGTAGGGGTGAAGGGTGTTGTTAGTAATGTGAACTAATAACCCCATTGCTAGCAATGTAACATATCAGGTTAACCTCCACGCGGTTCCTCCTGGAAACTATCGCGACAAATGGGGAATTTACCATGATGGGCTAACTGGTGTCATCTGGTGCCCCGCCAGCGTAAACCGTTAGCACAGGCGGGTGCACCTTTCCATTATCATCCATAAAAATAAATTGTCACATATATGTGGAATAGTACATGGAATCCCATTTCCGTGATACGGTTCATTTAACCACTGAGCTATTTGCAAGTCATCATTAAAATGTTTGATTTTCTTTGATATTATTTCAGCGATGGTGTATTCATGACGGCCACGTGACGCTGACGACCTAATTAGATAACGTTATCAGATAAACACGCGACGCGCCCAAAAATTAATGGAGTACTGTCAAGGTGCAGCGTGACGGTGGGAATAGCACGCCAGGG